CACCAGGTTGGGGAAGGCTGATGTATGATTGCACCCCTAGTTTCCAAAAGTGCAGAGCAGATTAACACATCTAAGACTTATTTCCCTCATAAGAAGAGTTATCTTGTCTTTTGCACCCAGTCTCAAGCAGAAGCTACTCCAAACCCTGCTACCCTAAATCCTTCTGATCCAAATTGAGACCTTTTGCATGAAGAACCACCCTTAAGCGCCCTTCCCCGTCTAGCAGTCTGCACTGTAGTTCAGTACTTGTGCTTCATCTCTTGCTTCTCTGCAGAACATGAGCACTGTGGTAAGTGCAGCGAGTAAGTTGGCTCAGCTCCAATGCCTCTGGCAGACCAAAGATTCTGGACAAGTGAGTGCAGCGACCTGGAGCTTAGCTTCATATACCTCTGCAAGTAAGCAGAAACTCAAGCTTCTTTTCTCCAGTTCTTCAGTGTTAACTTCATTCTAATGTATCCTGATGTGTAGTGTGATATAGTGGTTAGGAATGCTGGACTGGGACTCAAGAGATCGAGGTTCTAGTTTTTTGCTGGGCCATGAAGCTCATTAGGAGAGTTTGATCCAGTCACAGACACTCAGCCCAGCCTACCTCACAGAATGGCTTTGAGGATAAAATGGAGAGGAGGAAGAAGATTATGTAAATCATCTTGGATTTCTTACAGGGAAAAGGCAGGGTATAATTAGAATAAATTAAATAAATAACATCTGAGAAAGAAAGTAGAGAATGAGATAAGATTAAGATCATAGATTAAGATCATACTCTTGCTTTGCTGGATTTGAAATTAAAGCTTCTTTATGAAACAGCTGCTGTTACATGTTGCTTGAATGTTTATCTGTATCAAAGTCATAGGTCAGCTAACTATCCCAAGCCAACAGCTTTCAGGATAATATATCACCATCTATGTACAGATGGTGATACATCATCCAAAGAAGAGTATGATTCATCTCTGTTCTGAAGGGCTTACCATCTAATATAGACATAGCCAAACAACAGAGAAGGGGGAAATGGAGGCATGGGCAAGCTGGGAAAGACTATACTGTGTCTTAATAGCAGTTAGGTGTAGAGACTAGGGAGATGAACCAAAGATGTCCAGAAAAAGGTTTCTGAGGGAGGCAATTGCATGGAGGTGTTCATGCATACAGAGATGCAAGAGAAAAGAACATTACTAAGCATTGGATAGAGATTAAAAGAAGGCAGTCCCTGCCAACAGGCTTGCAGTCTAATACACATGATTCAAAGGGAGTACAAAAGCAAGAGACAAGCAAGCAATTTGGGACCAGTTGCTGAAGTTGCCTGTATGTATAGCAAGGCATGCTCGCGTTAGCAGAGCGGGGACCAGAGAAATAGGTCTCCAAATGCGTTCAATAACTGAGAAAATCTCTTGAGATGGTAACCTAACAGATTAAGGATTTGCTCCCTTTTTTCCATGCCATCCTTATGATGAGCAAGGGGATAACAGGAACTGTGAGCTGGTGTTGGAGCAAAGGGATTGAATGGATTTAGGGTTGGACCCAGTGGTCCTCTGGCCCCTTCCAGCTCTACTATTCAATGACTTTTGACAGTAGTTTGGCTTTGTCCTTTCCATAACTTTGCTTAAGAGAACAGAGACTCTCAGTTGAGCAAAGAGTCTGTTCTACCTTTTCTGCTCTGGCTAGTTAGATACAGAGATTCAGTATTTATGGGCCCTTAGAGACTGTGCAGAAACATTTCTGGATAGAGAAATTTAGTCTTGGAAAGTGATGTGACGGGACATTGTGTTTACTTTGATGAGCTAAAAGTCCCTTGCCCTGATCAGCACCTGGGTAGAAGATTGCCTAGCAGCCTTCAGCTGGATGTGCAAAATAAATTTGACATTTTTCCTCCCAGTCACTACTGAGAGAACTGATGTAAGACTTTGACATGCTATGCTACCAATACATCTTCTCTCAGCCAGTAAAATGTTAGGTCTGTTAGTGTATTGTTATTTTTCAGTTGATTAATGACTTAAAATGCAGGTGTTTAAACATCAAATATATTTGCACATTACCAATACCTCAACATGAACCTTTCAGAAAATTGTGGTTGCAATCCTGTACCTACTTGCCTGTGGGACTTAGTTCTGAGTAGATATACATAGATTGCCCTGTGAAGAAAGTATAAAGAAATTAACATTGCAATAAAACACATGGTCCTGCTCCTCGTATGTGGTAAAGACGGCATTTGGTATTTTCAGTTAGTACTGAAAAGCTATTTGAGATAAAATTGCCTTAAAAACTCCCCAGCATAAACCCATATGGCACAACTTTCAACCTTATCAATGCCGAGCAAAAATTGACTCCCTTTAATAAACAGATACTAAGTTGATTGATCTCCTAACAAATGATAATTGCCTTTTTCTAGAAATTGTGTCCAAATCCTTAAGTTTGTAAATGGAAAATTTCCTTCATGGTGCTGGCCTGGCATGAAGGAAATTGCAACAGTGACCTCATAGGGCATAGGGGTCATTCCGAGGACAGGAAGATGAGGAGACCAAAAACACCAAAATGCAGCCTCAGTGTCTTTCCTTCCCCTTCTAAATAGTGCAGGTAGGCGGCTGAAAACGGCCATCTGGATGCTTTGCAGAGGCAGATATCCCCTCTGCACTGGATGCCTGTAATCTTCCCAGTTGGGAAAGTTATGGGCATCCCTGTTGGACTGCACCCTTAATTCATTCAGTATACTACACACTGAATGATCTTTATGGCATTTGCACCAAAGGCAATTTGGGTAAGATACGATGATAAATGATAAAGCAGTGGCTTGGATTCTCCAAAAATACTGGGCTTTTCTAAACCTTTAGAGGCAATAGTTGCCAGTCTGCTACCTTTATTTTGCGCACAAATAACATTAGCAAGTCAAGAGATTAGGTTGCTTTGAAATAAGTCAAAGCTGTTCATGTGTGAAACAGAAGTAACTTCAGAGAACTTCCCCAAAGGAAAAAAAGATGAGTCACATTTGAAGGTTCTTGTTCAGAAAAGATAACTGAGAAATTTTATGGGAAGCTACAAGTGTTTCTCAGCGTAATGATACTCTCAGAGGGCTCCTCACATTCATAGACAGAGAAAACATGGGTGATTGCAAAGCTATTGGCATCTTCTGCCTTCCACCAACACTGGTTATTGCTTGGGAGTGGTGAAGAATCTCCAATTATAGGCAACATTGATTCAAACTAGCACTGGAATTATCAGCAAACTTTGCCCAGAGCAAAATTTTGAAACCAATACAGAATAAGAAACACCTGAGGAACTCAAAAAGAAAAGTTTGGTAATATTAGGAAAATGTTGTGGGTCTTGGATGAGGTCTGCATATTTTGAGGTTAAACCTGCATATTCTGAGATTAAAGCAGACATACCTGACTATCTTGGGGAAAACTGGAGATTGCAAAGGGCCTACCAGAATATTTACTTGAGAATATTCAGCTTAAATATGCTAACATGTGCTCTTTCAATTACAGCAAGAATATTTACAACTTTAATGACAACAAACGACATTACAGGTACTATGGTGCTATTTTGTGTATATGGGTGTCTGCCAGTTTTAAATTTCTTCTGCCAACTGGAAATTTTTATGCAGTGGACAAAGTGGCTCTCGTTAGGCCTCAGTGTTTGGATGGTATGAGAGAGCCACGCATTTCAAGTAACAGAAGTTTCAGACTTCTGCAGCATTCAGAAGTGAAAGGAAGTAAGGTGCTTACAAGCATCTGTCCTGTTCTGCTGTTTTTACCAACACATGATGGAAAAGCAGAGATATACTTACTGGTCCCACCCTATGCCTCACATCCCTGTCATTCAGTTTATATCATTTCTGTACCACATAATGGCCAAAGCTCTCTTAGCAGTTCATGTAAAATCCAACCTAAAACCATAACGTAACAAAAACATACTATCAAATCTTAAGCATGGAAATTTTAAAGCCAATGTTAGACGACTTAACCTCACACCCCCTCCTTGCAATAAGATAACAGGCCCTGATAAAAACCTCCTCCTATGCCTGGCAATGGAGGATAGTCTTAATCTGGTGCCAAAAACATGTTGGCATCAGATGTACTCTGCAGACACTGGAGGTTGAAGGTTGGAGAGAGGAAGCCTCCTGTGCGTGCGCAGGGTTTTACGTTACACAAGAAGCCACTGCGAGCCCTTTGCTGCAGGCCACCACCTTGCAGAGACAGTGGAGCCGGGCTAGTGAGCACATCTTCACCCATCAGTGAAGCAGGAAATTTTGAGCCATTTCAGACTAATCAGCCTTTTGGCCTTGGTTCTCCATGTGTGAATTTTGAAAGGAGGGATTAATATAGCTGTTGTGGGAATTTGATTTTACTCTGAATATGACTAGAGAAGCGATTTACACCGACACTTCATTGCTATTAAATATTTAAGAAGTATTAAACACTTACTAAATGTATGCAACAAAATAGCCATCTGCACCTACTTGCATAGTAAGGCATCACATTCCTATTCCACTAAGAGGGTGTTTGTGTAGAAAGAGGCCAGCTTAGTCGGATGACGGCCAAGTCATCATATTCTTGAGTAGGCATTGTGTTGTTGGCTTGATGTAATTCTGAGTGCAGATTACATGGAGCAAAATGGAGAAGTGAGACAAATCAATTTCACTGAATGCTCTCTCCCCAGTTCTGGTCCGTTTCATAGTCATGTTGGCACTAAATATATGGGTCCTACTAACTATACTGCACTACAGGAAGACAACTAAGAAGCACGACTAAGAAGGGAAGTGTTCTGCCTATTTTAAATAATCTGGACCAAAACCAAGAATGGAACCAGTTGAAGACCAAAGTATTATAAAGCTTCAGCAAAACAACACTCCACTTAATGGAGTGCTGCTCCTGCTTACGTAACGTTGATAGATTTATCAGTATGAATTGAACAGCTAACTTCCAAAGTTTGTTGGAATGCACACACCTGACAAACATACTGTTTGTAAGAATGTTAATGCATGGACAGAATTTTAGGAATATACCACTTGGTGTGTAGATGTGTATGCTTTTAATACAACCAAAGTAATCTTTTCAGAACTCCGTATCTGAATGTTTCTACCAAATAACTGTTCTCGCTTAATGTTGTCAGCACATCTTTAAAATCCAATTTATCATATTCCTCGCTTTGCTGTCTACTATACAAGAATATTGTCTCAGAAAATAATGAAACAGCATCTTTAGTATTTTAAATGCCTTTGTATCCTCCTCGCCACAAAATATTTAGTGCAGTCCATAGCAGAATCAAATGGCTTAAACAAGTTGATATGAGACTTCTGGGTCCCTTTGGGCAGGGGTTGGGAGAACACTTTACAGAAATCTTTACTCTCGGGGTTGATAAATGTATTGTCCCTACCCCAGAGAAAGTTATGCTCAAGCACCATTGGCTTGATTAAGTGTAAGATTAAGTGCGGGCAAACTTTCTTTGGACGTGGCAGCAGTCTGTAAAAGCTGCCTATGTACACTGGGGGCTCCAGCCATTTTGTACATGTGGGCACATTTGGGAATTCGAAAAACCACTGTGGGTGCCACAAGCGAATCCCTGCTTTGACAGCTGCTTGCCTTTACTGCAGCTGTTAAGCTGCATCTTATTCAACACAAAGGATAGTTTATTGGACACGGCAACCTCTCAATAAGGAATTGTCTGATTTGGCTATTTGATGGTGGTACAAGTACAGCAAATGCTTCTTTTAATTGTACATTCTGGCAAAGTCTGTCAAGCTGTTTTTGTTGAGGGGAAATTATTACACCAATAAATTTTGTACTGGAACAGTTCTTAATATCCACTGATGTACATGTACTTTTAAATTTTTTAGCTGTTTCATTCAGATTAATAAAAGAGGAAATGGAGTCTCTGCACATATTCTCTGCACATATTCGACAAAAAGATAGCACTTCCTATAACAGAGTAGATTGAGGACCTACAAAGCTTTTAGCATTTAAGCAGATGGCATGAAGATGCCAGCTAAAAATGGCTTGTGGCAATGGAAGTTTGGATGAGCTCCCTCCCCTTATCCCCATATTTTCTGGTTAAGTGCATATTCCAGTGAAAGAGTACAAAAAGTCTTGGACTGAACATGAATGTACATGGTGTAAATGTTGAAACAATTGGAAACGTGGACCACAGTGCTACCAGTATGTGGAAAATTGACAAGTTCCAATACAATCTCATTTTGCTTCAAAAGAGGATATGTCTCTACTATGAAGCAACTGGTAAAAAGGAAGGTGCAATGGGCAATCAAAAGGGATAATTCTAGGAATGCTTGGTCAATTCTCAAAACCACCATAATAGAAACTCAGCTAGAATTTATGGCCCAGGTTAGGAAAAGCAGTACCAAGTTCAAGAGGTCACTAGCCTAGTTAGCATATCAAAGAAGTTATTAGAGAAAAGGTTTTCTTCAGAAAAAGGAAATCTTTTCTAAATGAAAATTACAGGGAGCATATGCTTGCACAAAATAAATGCAAGCAGAGAGGCAAAAGAATTTTGAGCAACATCTCACTGCCAACAGCAAGGCCAAACGTAAAGAGTTATTTCTGTCAGAAGCAAGAACCAACTTGGTAGGAAGTTGGACTATTGAATAATGGAGGGCCCAAGGAGAATAAGAAGATCGTGGAGAAGTTGAATGAATTCTTTTCATCTCTTTTATCTGCAGAAGATACAGGGCAGATACCTATACCTGAGCTGATGTTTTCATGGAATCTGAAGAGCTGAGACAAACAGTAGTCACAATAGATGAAGTTCTCAAGCTTACTGACAAGCTAAATCATCAGGCCCAGATAATATCCATGCTAGAATTCTAAGAAAAATATATTAGTATATAGGAGGATAAACAAATAGAACAGGCTTTGCGAAAAAATCAACATGGCTTCTACAAAGGTAAGTCCTGTCTCACCAACCTTTTAGAATTCTTGAAAGCATTAACAAACGTGTGAACAGGAGTAACCCAGTAGACACTATTTACTTATACTTACATAACATTTGTATACAGTAAACTATTAAGATAGGTACAGAACCTAAACCAAGGAAGTCTAATTGCCAAGCAGGAAAGTGGACATCCCTAAATTATGATATCCATGAATAGAGGTACTGCTGCATAAAGCTTACTAAATTCCTGTAAGAGAAATCATGGCAACAAATGGATGACTTGTGATAAGGGCCTGACATCTTAATCAGTGCAATATTTTTAAATGTTAGAAAATCCAGTGGTGCCATAGCAGCAGCCTTTGTCATTTAAGTACATGTCCATCTTCAAGTCAAGTCCAAAACATTGGGAAAAGATGCTGTGCAAAAGACACATCGTATATAAATGCCTACAAAGCCCCATGGTTTAAAAGGGTTTTAGTCACAAATGTGCCTACAATTGAAACCTAGGACTGTTTTATCTGACTGCATTTTTGGAATGGAACGTAAGCTTGGATTAGGCCTCCCTTCAGCCTTTGGATGCCCAGTTATATACTGATGGACTATACTAGACTTCCACCTATCAGTGATTTTTAATTCTTCCCAGCTTGAGCTACCATTTTCTGCCAATGAAATGATTTACTCCTTAAAATATAACCTGTATGGAAAGATCAACATCTTATATTTCTCCACGTCTTTCCCTCAAATTGGATTATGCTCCAAGAGTTTTTTTCTAATATGAATATCCCTGTAACTGTGTGGAAGCCATCTTTGTCATTCTGATTCCTAGAATGACAGTTTATATATAGTTTGCATTTTTTTATTTTTTTTTTAAAAATCAACTTTCCAACATCAGGAATTATGTTATCTTACTCAAATAGTTTATTTAAAAATATATTTCTTCCAATTCATATCTTCCCACAAATAACAATTTTATATAAAATATGTATGTCTTCAGTGAATGGAAACAGTTTTTATTGTATACATGTTTAAACAGTAAGTTTTGTATGCCAAATGCTATACTCTCAACCCTTCAGAGGAGGCAGACAAGTGATACTCTTTTGGAGTGCCATTGAGGCGCAAATCTAAATAACATTTTAAATTTTAAGCTACAGGATACACAGTTTTCTATTTTTAGACCTCCTGTGTATAAACAATGCCACTATATATAGTGGCTATGTCACTATGCATTACCAAAGTGGTGCTTATAGGCCCAGTCCACTGAGATGTTTGACCATACATGACCAGCTGAAGTGAATTCATATTCATTTCAATGGGGCTTGAATGAGAGAAGATCATAGTATATGTTGAGCTTTTACTGCCGCCTCCTCATGCTCAAGCCCACTGAAGCAAACGGGAATTGCTTTGTGAATTTTGACACCATGTGCAGTAACTCCAACTTTTTTGGATGTGATGTTAAAACCATTTGTCATTCTTTCCCTCCAAGTGCCTAGTTGCTGTTACTAAAGATAATAACCTAGTGAAATGACTCACTTCCTTCACTTAAATGTTACGATTCTGTGTTTCATGAGGACACTATCACACAACATACATATGCATATATGTGTATAAGCAGGAAAAAAAGAGACCAAGGAGGAGGCTACGAGATTTCTTTTCTTTTTTACTGCCATCATGTTTAACATTATAGCATACTGCAGCTGTATAAAACATGCATTTTCTGGGATAAATTATGGACATGGCATGAATGAACTCACATGAATTATATTTGTACAAAATTTAAAAATTTAAAAAACCAGATTAAGTGCCTCCAAAGCCTTTTCCTCCTATATGTTCTCAAACACACACCACTGAAATTATATTCCTATTCCTAAAGCTATGTGCTAAGGGAACAGGATTCAAAAAGTTTAAAATACACCTACAGTATGTTTCAGTCATTAAGAGGTTTGTGACAGTCCCTAGATATTGTGCGGTGAAAATGTAAAAAGAATTATAGGTATTTTTCAGAAATAAACACACCTAGGATAGTATGCAAAAAGAAAAGGCAGAATGAAGTTTTGTAGCACTTAGTAAGGGTAATATAAAGTGAATCACTAATATTGAGGTTTGTACAAATGGCTGAATGAAAATTATGCCTATGCATACAAGCTATATATTAGTTCTAATACTACAGTTCATGTTTCTGAAATCAGTACTCAGCTGACCCCTCCCCTCCCACTTCCAAACCCATTAGATATACATTCAGAATAGACTGACATTGATATAAACTATATATGTAAACATAGTGCACTATATTTGTTCTGCCACAAAGCAAAATTGCATCCTAAGAGCTGGTAAACCTCTGCATCCTTTCCCCCTCCCTTCTTAAATATCTAGACTGGGCATAGACTTTAAGGGAACAAAATTAATTTAAGGCATTCAAGACCAGTAACACAGAACTGCCCATGAAATTAGTAACAGAAATGAGTATATACTCTGACCTTCTCATTATACTAGCTGCTGAGCACAGACATGCAGCTTTTGATATACGAGTATGAATGATAAAACTTCAACAGTATGGCTTTATACAAGTGCATAGTTGCAACTCCAGATAATGGTATATGACAAGGATGTATAAAAAATAAAGTGGAAAGTTTTTTTTAAAAAAACCCTCTTGCAGCAGTACAGTACAATATACATATTTACATACCAAAACACATACACACACAGTATAATGGTCACTTTTAAAGATGCAGTCTTCATCAGTGTGACAGACCCTTCCCAACCCACCCCAAGCTCCACACCCGTTCTTCAGGAAAACCTGCTGGTGGCATTTCTCTACAAAAGCTGAACAAAGGATAGATTCTTCACATTCCCTGTGCCTTGATTCTTTTGTGAAATGTAGTGTGAGTCTTTCCAAGACAGGATTTTGCAGAATTGAAATTAAGAGTATCCTGTACTATTACCAACTGTTCCTAATTTGATCAATCATCCAGAGGGGTTACATTTTAAAAAAACACACAGGAATTATTAGTAAATCGTATTGCAGCAAAAAACACACACCTCCCTGTAAACTTCTGATATATATATTTTATATAACTGTCTTTCAAGAACATATATATATATTTTTCATAAATTTTGGGATACGATGTTTCAGTCTTATTTCAATGAGAAGAAAATCACGTTCAACAGTGACTGCATTCACAGAAGGCAGTTAGCTGGAAAAAAGAAAAGAAAAAGATTTGATCGGTAAATGCTATCTGGTTTGCTCAAAAGCAATGGCATTCATTCCATGGCCAGCAGGCCCCAAAACAGAAACCAAGCCAAAAGCAGTGCGGGGGAAATCTCTAGATGCTTTCTTCTCCCAAAACCCACCCTGAGACAGATTACCAGGCGAGTGGCACTGCATGCCAGTCTTGGCAGAAGGGCTTCCTTCCCCTATTGAAACAAAGAGCAGCTACTTCCCTTTGATTTCAAGTGATGCCTGGATGAACAAGGACTGGTGCCCTGTGTGGATCTGGCTTGCATGTAACAAGTAGCCACCACAGGAGCTGGTACCCTCTCCAGTTGCAGGGTGCCACAGTTCTGAATATTTGAGCCATGGCAGTGGCACAACGTGGCTTATCACTACATGTGAACTAGGCAGGACAGGATGGTTGGCACACTACCTTCAACAAGCTGCCTACAGCTGCCCGTGACTTCTAGATAGCTCGCCAACCACCTGAGCAGCCACCCCTCTCCAGTTTGCATGCAGTGACACCTACAGAGTGCCCCATGATGTGTTGAATGTTCAAAATGGTGGTGGCTACCTCAGCTAGAAACCCAGTGAAGAAGCTTGCCCACAGTCATTTCTCATTTCATGTGAACAGGGCCTCCGATTCAGACCTTTCATGCACCTAGCCCAGTACTGTTGTCACTGAAAGTCACTGGCTCGCCAAGGTTCCCTTTTTAGCCCTACCTGAACATTCTGAAAATTGAACTGAAGATCTTCAGGTACGAAGAACATGCTCCAGCACTGAGCTACACTGCCCCCAGCCTCATCCCCTAACACTCTAAGCACAGTGCTGGGGGACTTCTTTTGTTTTCATATTTAGAAAACTAAACGAAACTATATAGGTAACATGTCAGCAGACTTTACTGGTGAACTGGCAGAGGAAAAGGGAATTTTCTTACATCCACCTTGGGGCCTAGAAGCCATATTTGATTGGCAAGAGCAGGATGACTAGAACTCTCAACATTTCCCCTACCAGTCAAATGTGACAGGAGTTTACCTAGAAAACTATGAGAACAGCTGCTAGTATTTGCACTTTAAAGCATCTGCAAAGCAATTTACATTATAAGCAAATTATTAAAAATATTTAAAAGGTGCGCTAATGCATAGAAAGCCAAGTCACTGCTCCATCAAATATGCAATATGCAAGTGACCAGCTAAAACAAATTGTACCACACTTCAACACATATATTTTATTGCCCACATCTGAGCCTGCAGTTACACACAAAAGGATGAACAAAATAGAGATCGTTTAAAAAACTGAAAAGTTAGCAGTATATCTTTGAATAGCATGTTATAACAGACAGACAGGCAAGGACTTTGAGAACTACAGTTTCAAGATACTTCAAAAATCAGATGCATGCATTGTTAAAATGTTTAATACTTTCTTCTTGAAGTCATAAAATTACTGTTGGGGGAGTTTAAGTTCACACACTTTATTGACTGGGAAAAATCCAAACAACATGCTTTACTTCAAGAAAGCCAATCCATTCTCCTGTGGAAATTCACTCATTTACCTCTTCAGAACAAACACATCGTTATCATCATCGCTATCATCAAGATAATTATCGTTCCCAGCATCAATATGAAAATCAATATCAAAATCAATATCATCAAATGACCAATCCCAGTCTCTACATGCCACATCAATCAATCTGCAAAATGAGGTTTTAAAGTTTAAGAGCCACATTCCATTAAAAAGTCTTAGACTGACAATTATTACAATTATTACAAGATGTTTTCCCTGGTGCATTGTACATTATTGTGACATGCTGCCTGCAATCTAGAACTTGTATGCTCTACTTATCAGAATCAAATATGTGAAACTAATAAAACAGGTCATTGCACACGTGGCTTGTTTCCCTCCTTAAATGACACGGGGTTTTAATTTATTGTCTACTCTTTCCTCAGGATGTAGTCACTGTATTGTCCTCCCATCCGGAGGACACCGGTTGCCCACTTCTGGTCTTGTACTGCTTCTGCTTTCTCCACATCTCAGCACAGTATTAAATCCTGCTTTTTTCAGAGCTGTACACATAGCCAGACTTATCAGGCAGTTGCATCTCAAATTATGCGGGACACTGGAGCAGGCAATGTAAGTCTTATTTGCTACCTCTGCCTAGCTTCCCCACAGTTCAAGGAGATGTGAACCACCTTCCCAAATTTTCTCAGGTAACTCAAGGGATGACTCTCTGGGCTGGTGCTAGAAAAAGCTTACATAAGGGCTCTAGTTCCCAGTGAACTTATTTGCAAATGATTATCATTCACATGCATATCACAGGAGGCACCATCTTGGAAGAGGTGTTTTCCCTTCTGTCACATGCCAAAGGGAATCTCTTTTGTAAGATAACACTTGCCTACCCATGCCTTTTGTAAATAACAGCACATGCATTTAACAACAAGATATCCTGATCCATTCATTAGAGCCATCCTTTTAATTGACTGAGTTTTAGTTGATTGATTTAAACTATTAATGAAAACACTGCAACCTACTATACCCAGTCATTCACCAACCACCTAAATTATTAAGGAATATAAAAAAGTTTCACAGTTTTGAAAAGTATGTGTGCCTGTTTCTAAAAGTATCAAGCTACATTCAAAATTACATATTACTTTATCCAATAGGTGCTCATCTTTAACATTCATCTTAAAAAGTCAAAGTAAAAACATTAAAAGCTCACAACAGAATGCTAACATTTTTTGCATACAAATTCACAATTTTAAAAAAGAAAAAGTACAAGTTACAAACAAGTACAAGCTTATAAAAACATGACTTCAACTATTGGAGAAACATAAATCATGATCAGTTTTTTAAAGTGTTTTTTCACTGTAGCATAAAATGTATATGGCACTTAAAGCAAAAACAGACCAACACAAGAATACCCTTAAGCCAGAAATGAAATACACCATGTTTGCCTATTTTAAATGGTAGCTAGAAAATTCATTAAGGAGCAAACAACATATTTACTGCCCAGAAAATGTGCCCCCTGATCTTTTCCTTTATCTTCTTCCCCTTGTATCTGATATTATGTATGTGCACATTTATACCGTATTCTTTATATCACACTAGAGCAAGGGCCTCAAACTCAACTGACCTGGGGGCCGCTGGAAGTAGAGTCTGGGTGAGGCTGGGCCGCATCAAGTATTCCACCCCCGCGGTGGTGATGGTGGGCCGCTCATCCGGAGGCCGGCCCGGGCGCCGCCGGTGCTTTGAAGGCCGCAGGGCCCCCCCTCCCGTGCCCCACCCGGCCCGGCAATTGGCCTGTGGGCCGCAAGTTTGAGACCCCTGGACTAGAGTATCAGAGCCAGGACTGGGTTTACCAGTTTGCCATTGCAAAGAAGCCATCATCATATCTAAAGTAACTTAGATTCAGTCTATTACGTTAACAACTTTTAAAAGACAGAACTCTGAACTAGGTATTGTCGCAACAGATGCATGCACTTAACTGCACAACAGGAGATAACGCACTGATCAAGCACATAAAAGACTTGCAACCAATTTCACCATGTCTTTATGTGGCCTCGTTTAAAATTGCACTTTAAAGCAAGTAAGATTTCCTGAACAGTAAGGCAACATAAGCACTTAACAAAATTCTAAAATTACATCATAGCAGCAGATTGTCTGCATTATGACTATCACACTACTTTTCTAAAGCTACTCGATAATCTATTCCTCCCTGAAGTTAAAAGACTTCACTTGGTTTCTCCTCCCACCTTTAACACATATGGCTTTTTTGCTTCCTGCTCAGCAACTCCTACACTAATTCTCACTTCCATTATTCAGGAATTATGCTAGGCCATGGAGTTTTCAATGGTTCTTAGCATTTCCATTCATTTAGTACATTAAATATGAGCACTTAAGTTTGAGGGAAAAGATGACTCAAGCATTTTAGATAAAGATACATTGCAGATAAAACATTATTCTAATTAGTTCTAGCTCACATGCACACTGGCTTTCCTCCCTTGGGTGCTTGGATCAAAATTAGAATTAATCTGGCCTACTTTCTGCCCAGAATTCAAGCAAAACAACTTGAGAGTATGTTAAAGAGAAATACTACTTTTTAACATTCTCAACCTAAATGTAAAATTACTTTAAAAGTATGTGTAACTTCACAGTTATATCTTCATCTACCAATGAAACATTTTCTGGTATAGCAAACTAAGGCTTTCTTTTATATGCTAGAATTTTCTTTGGAACTGAAATTCACCATCAACTTTAATCTCAGCCACAAGGTTCTACCAGTAGACTTGCTCTGCTTTTGCATGACTTTTGAACACATCAAAAGTACTGTGACCCGATATAACGATTAGTAAGGGTTCCCCTGCATGTATGTGCTAGTTGTGTCTGACTCCGGGGCCGGTGCTCATCTCCGTTTATAAGCCAAAGAGCCATCGCTTCCATGGTCATGTGGCCGGCATGACTAAACGCCAAGGTGCAAGGAACGCTGTTACCTTTCCCACCAAAATGGTACCTTTTTATCTACTTGCATTTGCATGCTTTAAAATTGCTAGGTAGGCAACAGCTACCTACCTAGTAGCAGTGGGCACTCATTCCATCACACAGATTCAAACTGCCGATCTTCCAATCAATAGCCCAGTGGCTCAACAGTTTAAACCGCATCTCAATGTAACAATTAGGTGCACAATTTTAAGCTTAAAACAGTAAGTTAGTTTCAGGAAAAAGTATGGGTCCTGAATCTAAGGTGGAATCTAAGGTGGCTTATGTAATCCTAATTATCCTCACAACAGCCCTGTGAGGTAGGTTACACATCTATCTGCAATGTTTTGTTATATGCACAATAAACCAAACAGGACAAAACATGAAATGCACAAAAATTGTCTTTCGTGCTATTATGGGCCTACTCAAAACTCACTGGTTGAATGACAATATTTTCTTATTTTTATAAGAATACATCTGTAATAGAGCACAGATTATAAGGCATAGCAGTATTATAAGATGCAGAATTAATACATTTAAATACATGTGCTTACTATTTTTCATGGGATTTTTTTCTTGCAGTCCCGAGTACTGAACTAATGATGTTACAGATGTCTTTTGAAAATATTGTCATTTAGGCTTAATAGCAGAGTTCTTTTGGTTAATTCTCACCATTAACATGCGTTTGTGCTTAAACCCCAAACCCCTGTTACTTACTGTTGAAAAATTAAAAAATAACAAAAGCACAGAAAAAACACAACTCAGTGAAGAATAATTCGAAGGGCGGGCCCAGAACTAAAAAAATAAAATGAAATACATATGTGATAAAATGGTACGAGCCAAAAGATACACCATGCTGTGTTTGTTCATAAAAGTTTTTAGCAAATGAAAGAGGGGTTCAAATTTTTCTCTCAGGTTCAGAACCAAAAATAGTTACTTATGCCATAGTTCTATCTGTATGAGGTACTCTAGAAGACGATTCAGAGTGAGAGCTGGTGCAGAATGTTGCAGGTCACCCAACAGAAGGAGGCAACCCAAAGGAAATTATAAAGAAACCATGCAACCTGATATGGGATATAAGCCTTAGCAAATGCACAGCTGCCACAATTACAGTGCATGGAATCCCTATTTTTAAATGAAAAGGGGTGCATCAGGCTCAATTATGGCGCTCCTTAATGGTTTCTTAATTTAAAACCAAGCCACACCATTAAAGAAGGGGGGAAAGGAACAAAACCAAAACATTACAAACATTAAAAGATATATAGTGCTAATTACATATGTATCTCTTACGTTAATATGTAGCAAAATATGCTAATATTATTAAAATAATTTTCTGTAGACTTCAATAAAGATATTCCCAAATATCCATAGTTTTATCCAGTTGGAGGGGGCTGTATTGTACAATTTAAAAAAAATAAATATATTTCTTAACTTAAACAAACAAAACTTTATTGTATAAAACCAAAAAACAGAGAATACTTTATACCTACTTCATCACAGTCTTCATCACAATCGATGCAAACAGAATAGCGATCATGTTGACCCAGTTCAGACATTACAGTAAGTTGTGGTTTCTCATTAGCTTATCACTACGCTTTAGCAAGGGAGAGACAAACACTGCTTTGGGAAACTAACAAATCATGGACAGAAGGTCTGTGATTTGTGTAGCTACTTTTACTTGCCGAGTGTAAGTAACAGGGCAACACACACTAGTAGACTCCTCATAGATTATAACCCAACACTGGACCATTGTCTTGACACAAAACATTAGAAAAGCATTTGAAAAAAGTAGTGAATGGAAAATTGCCAGGAAGCCGTGAAAGCAAAAATTCAGCTGCTATGTATAAATTTAACTTTGTAGCACAGCAGCACACAAAATGGAAAAGGCAGCGCTTTCTTCCATTCTTACTACATAAACAATATGAAATGGGGTGCAGGAAATTGCCTGATCCTGAATGTCTGTTCTAGTACAACCCTAACATAACAAGGTATAAAATTATAGCCTGTTTCATTTCTTGAAACTATGAGGTGGACCAAAGTCTCACCTTCAAGATCAAGTAAACTTAGTTCAAAATGGAAGACACCAATGGAAGACTTGTTGCTAACTGGTATGGAATAAAAATAAACCATTAAAAGCAAAGCATTCCGTCGCTTCACTAATCACTAATACAATGTCTGACACTATAATTTTATCACTTTGCTACGTAAATTCATTTGAGGCGCACAGTGTCCTTAGATTTCCACTGTTAGGGCCTAAAACGCACTTCTATTTCTGCTCCTTCCCCAAACACTTGCAAAATAGATCAGAAGATGAAGAATTAAATAAGCAGAGGGAAAGTTCCTTAAGGCAAACCGGCTACATAAATTGTAGTGGAAGTAAATGCAATATTGTGAGGGTGGGTGCCATCTTTCAGAGCCAGTCAAAGAAATATCTGAAATGCGTTATCTGCAATGTCCCGTTCAGTTAAAAAGGCTACTATTTACACTAGACATAGTAACTATTTCTCACACTCAGCTTTTTACCTTGGAGGAAAGCCTTCCTTTTTATTTGGAGGAAGCTGTTTGCTTGGTCTTCGGATAGACTGGTTTGGCTGTACCTTCATGGAAGTTCTTGGTGAAGACCGTGCAAAAGGGTCTGGTGCTGGAGGCTTTTTAGGAATTTTTTTCCCCAAACGGCTCACCCATTTTTGCTGTTCCTCTGTGGAAGTTGCTAATAGTAGTAGATTCTTTGCAGTTGAAATATCATAATTTACTGAAAAATATTACAGAACCACAACTCAGAAAGAACACACACAAACATTCATCTTCCTGTACCCAGATGCAAAATAAGTAGCTTATCTGGTTCTTATTAAGAGTGGCCTCAACCTGGCAAAGATGATTTATTTTAAAGTAACCCTAGTTTAAGCCTGTGGCTTGAATTTTTCTTGCAAATTGGCAAGTATAACTTTGGCAAGTTTTCTCATCCTGTTAATGCTAGGCACAATCCAGCTAAACCAAAGTACTGAACAATTTATACTAAGCTTCTGACAGTACACATGAGAAGAACCTTGACACCTAAAATACACAAGTGTTCCTTCTTACACTGTGGAAAAAGTTCCTTGCAAATATGAAAAATACAGATAAACAGTAATGCTGACACTTACCTGTATATTCTTAAGATCATGTCCTTTCCCCCCAAATTATATTTCAGAAGCAAAAAGAGTTAACAAAGACACTATCTAGACAGAATTGCTTTCATTCAGACATATATGTGCAAAAAAGATGCTTTCAGGAGCAAGCCTCAACTGAACATAGGGGCCACAGCAGTTCTCCTATTCTGAGCACTAATTTTTTTTTGAAAAAGTTCTTGGGAATTACATGCCAGCGGTGGATGGGGCCTAAGGCATAAAGCATGAGGCAAATACTAGTCCATTGTGTCTTAGAACTCTTACCAGTGGTAATTAAGCATTGGGAGGGAAATCTGCACAAAAGCCAGGAAACCACCGAATAATCAGCAGTTGGGAGAAAGGGGAAGAGGACATCAGTTTCTGGGAAACTGTGGAGAGCCAGTCTGGACCTTGAGGGGGCTGTACTAGGCCCTTGGTCCTGATGCTTTGCTCCCCTGGAATACAATCTATTGGCATTTAACAGGAAACAAGTTTTTCTCTGACTATTTTAACAGACCAACCCAAGTTATAGTATACATGTTTTTTTGGAAGATACCTTTGCAAGGTGCTATGATCTCTTCTTTTTTATCCATATGGTCTTTATGGCATTTGATGTGGCAGCGGCGGCACTCCAGTGCTGGGGGAGGTTTGAACATGTGCCACAAAGGCTTCATGCAAGCCTCACAATTGGTTGGGAAGTGATAGAGGGTGGGGATGAACTCATGTCCTTTGTGGCAAATATAATTTGATTTCTCCCCTGCTGCTTCTACAGGGAATTCTTGCTCCTTTTTGCTTTCTCCTTCATTATCATACAGGATCTGGAATCAGACAGGAAGAACCATTGCAATAATTCTTGAAAACACAAGACATATTTCCCAAAGGAACTGAATGTGGTTACACCAAAGCACAAGAAAAACAAGGAAAGGGGCAGCAAAAGGAAAGGGGGAACAGAGAAATGACAGGGAATTTTCTTCCCACCCGTGTATTTCCCAGTTTAAAAATATGTTCATATTCTCCAAACAGTTTTCTAAAATTCCTTCAGAGGTGGCAGGACAGAAGGAAATGACACACAAAAAAGCTGGGGAAAAAGAGAGGGGAATATCTCTCATTTCTGGAGTAGATGGAGTCCCTGGCGTATTGTTGAAAATGTAGAGGACTTGAACACTTAAAACTGAGGATTGCACTGGTAAGGCAAAGATCTTGTCACCACCCCCTTTCAGGGCACCTACTCCCCCCTTCCAATATACTAGTGATTTTCAATTTGCAGCTTGATCATTGAACATAAATTAACCTATGTCCAGTTTTGCCTTGTCCATCTGTTCCATCTGTTACCTATTGCCCTTGGCCCCTCCCCTTTGATAAGAAGGATATGGACCAAGCACTACATATACTGGAAATCTCTAGTGCATGTTTGCATACTTGTGAAAGACCGCCCCCTCCCCCAATTTTGTAAAACATGGCCATTGACTAGGTTCTCACGACATGGCAACCCAATGCAGGTAGCTACTTCCAGTGAGCAACAAGCCAGTCCTACAAATCCCACTATCCCACAGCAAGCATGGCTTGCTGGAACATGCTGGAAGTTCCAGGATTTTTTTCCTATCTAACCATACATAGGATTGTACTCTTAGAAAGGACACTAGTGAGGTAGGAAGAAAGCGCATGACTGGCCAGCTGATGGGAAAAAAATGGTCTGAAATTTTTCTATTAAAATATTTTATGCCCGTTATAATACTGTATTTTAAGGGTTTTACTCTTTGTAAACCATCCAAGTAGTATAGAAGTTTAATAGATGAGATGAAAGGAAGGGGAGGGGAAGGGAGGGGCAACCAAACGAAGGCTTGGTAAGCCTCTTGTTTTTGCTCCCTGCCTAATAAGGCAGCTTGTCAAGCAGCAGATGATCTACAATACCATACTCTTGGTTTGCTGGGTTATATATTGCGCAAGCACAAATCTGCTTAGCAAGCATGACATTAAGCATTTAAAGGGTGTGAAGAGCTGGGCTCTTCCAAATCTTCCCTGTCATATCTAAGCTGTTTTCTAGGGTTGCTTCTTTAAGTGTAGCTGCTTGCCGAGTCCCCTTTACAGGGCAACCAATCCCACCAAGCTACAGGGAAGCATTCAGTGAGCCCAAGCTGTGCCACCAACAGCTCTTACACCAATGACCGAGTGGCATTTTGCAGCAATATTCACAGTCTTGGCCTTGCACCCCCTCTGAGTTACTGCAGCTTGCTTTCCTCTACTGCTCTGATGGCCCCTCCAGTGTATCCAAGTGAGACGCTGGAGCACAGCTCTCACAGGCTCACCACCTTTTTTTTCTTGTGACCCGAATCTGCACAGATGTTTTCATTTTGGGAATGTTTTATTTTAATTCTTGTGTAATTCTGGGAGTTGCACAATTCGGACTCTTCCAAATATGCACCTCAGACTTGCAGTACAGAAGCCATGGACATTGGCAACACAAGGCTACAACTAGGCATTTTATTATTCATATTGAAAAAAGAGGATGAGCAGAGTGTTACAATTTTCAGGGTCTGAAAAAATATTGCAGTAGTTAGACTTTTTGAAGTGCGTAAAAAAAAAAAAAAAGGTGGTGATGAAAAGGTGTGGTAAGGAGAGCAGGGAGACAAGGCAGGTCCTGCCAGAGTGTCCTTGGGGACACCAGAGGGGGAAAGCAGAGGGAAGAAACCCAATTCTGTGCTACAAGCACCATGGCTTGTTCCGTAAACATATACTGTGCATTGTACTAGCAAGGTTAGCTGTTCTGATGTGCAAACAGGACCACTAAGTGTGTATGAGAGAACTTGTTTTGACTAAAGGGGGAAAAAGGACTAAAAATTCCTCTTCCAGCAACCAAGATGAAAGGCCAAAAGAAAACACAGGGGTGAAATGATCTTTGCCAAAGATTTTTTTTAGTTTGCAATTGAAAATTTGGCCAAACACTGCAAAACCCCTCTGATGAAATGCTGCGGGGAAAAACCTCTTTAAAATATTCTCTTTTGGAATGCATAAAAAAACTTTTTAAGTTAAAGGTTTACTTACTCCAAAGCACAGCATAAGTTAATTTACAGTAATTAGAGAATAAATCCCATGTACACTGTAGACACATATACTGCTTAAATGTTTTTCAGTGTTGTTATGCAGTTTAGCTCAATATCTAAATATGCAGTTAGTTCTTAATACTGTGACTGTGTAAGACTAATCCCACCCATATTTCCCACAGTATCTCTACTTTCAACTCTACCCCCTGCTTTTCAAATGGCAAAAACTAATGTTCATGTTCTCAGGTAGCACACAGTGCAGCAGCCTTCGGTACACTCACTCTAGCATTGGGTGCATTTGCAATCTTGCTGTACAAAATGAAGGCATTTGTGCTTCTGTGGCTGCAGTTGTAGATGCGCTTATCTGGATAAGCACCACTGAACCAAGGGAATTCCACTGTTAGTGTAATGGGGAGAAAAAAATCCTCCCACTGCTGGACTCCCCACTCTCGAAATCTGCTCCAGCGCATTGGGGAAGGCCATCAAAGCAGATATGGGGGAAGATGCTGAGGAAAGTTCTTCATGATCAAGGAATGCTGGATTTCAACAACAGTGGGCCCTACTTCTGCATAAACATGCAAAGGACTTTTCTGTAAATTATGTTTAAGTGGTTTAAATATGTTAAAAATACAGTTTTATATGCTAACCTACAAGCAAAAATACAGTACTGTATTGTTAAGTACTGCTTATATTAATTTGTCCCCCAAATTTCTTCTACAAAGAGAAAACAGATATGGTATCTCTCGTGGCATCAATATTTTGTTATTTTACATCTTTCCCTCAGTCACTTTATTTTTTAACCTAAAGATAAGCAACAAAGGTTTTTTTTATTTTACTTGCAGAGTAGCTCCAACTTTACAATTTTATTTCAAGACAGTCATCAGGACAAATAGTCGAGTAACACTTCAGAATGTATGCAAACTGTATGAGTACAAATACCAAAGATAAAGTTAAATTCATTCCAAATATTAGAACATTCTGATAATCTACGAAAGATATGGCCCCATATCCTTTCTACTCCCATTATTTTTACACAAAAATTTCCCTTTGGAGGGCTCACCTGGAAAATCCTGGGAATATCTTTAGAATCTGCCCTGTATACATCTGTTTGTGTAACGGGCCGAACATGGAATAGTTTGCTGTAGCAGAAGAAGTAAAAAAAATAATGCATGATATAAAATACTAAAGCAGACAATCCCAATGAAGCAACATCTTTAGAAGCATTCCCGTTAATTCAGTAGAGTTTAGCTCGAACCTTAAATATTGACCTTAATTGTACTTAAAACACACCCAGCATTGCCATGCTTCACTAAGGCATCCTATCATGTCATTACCCTGATGGAAGCAGTTGCAAAGAAAGCAATTCCTTCTAAATATATTTAGAATTTTTAATATGAAATTTATCTTTGTATATAGGTAGTACTGTGGTTTATTTTAACTGCAAAAATCCTGCAAAAAGTTATTATTAGCTATATATGGAAGCCTATCCAAAGTGGAACTGTAACAACTATAACAAATTGTAGGTAATATCCAGAGCATAGCTAAAGAAAAGTTTTCTCATTTGAAGGATATTCTTTGGAGACTGAATCCTATAAAGTATGTTTAGAGTATGATTACATTTCATGAGTAGCAGCAATTAAAATGAACATCCTTTCTCCAAAATTAGGTTTATTCCTTAATATTCTACTCAAATTCAAACATCTATTTTTAATTAAAAACAAATGTTTAGCTTACATTTTATTTGGCTTGGAAACAGCTGAACAAGTAGTTAAGGGAGAGGATGTACAGGGATTCCTAATGAATCTTGTAAAACTGTCAAACCTGCCTCAATAAATGTTTGGTTTCTGATAAACTACTGAAAGTGGAAGAGACTATTCGTAAAAGAGTTTTAATAGGTTTAAAATAATGCCAGACAAAATCTTGGCCTATGAACATAGGCCAAATTATCTGAATTTATTCCTTTTTCCGTGTGTGGTAGAAAGTTAAAGCAAGTCTACGTACTCAATTCTAACCATACACATCATTCCCTACATCTACTTTCCTTTTTTTAACACTGAAAGAGGCCCCACCAATGTTCTTTCCTTTTCCCTACTTTCCCCTTTAAAAATTGCTCTAATAAGGTTTTGTTGCACTTTTATGTATAGTGCCCTATACACTACTTCTGAAGGGGGAGAGCAGGGGTGAAAATAAAACATGGTTGCACAGTGAGCAACATGAAGTGAATGCCATATGTTCTTCATGTTTATTTACAAACACCAAGCAATAAGATGCTTGCCTTAATTGCAAGTTAGTATTAATCAACTGGCAATTACAAAACACTCCTGTTTCCATAATCATGGATACCACCAGGCCACCAGCTCTTCCCTGCCCTGTGAAAATTCTAGCAAACAATCTTAATCAAAGTTAACACTAGTGAAGATTTTCAAGTGATCTTAAAATCCTAGTGAACAGCTAATTCTGAGAAACCTTAACTGTGGTTAAGGCTAGGGATGTGTGCGGGAGCCATTTCGGGGTGGGAATCCATCAGATTTCCTGGGCTCAGCTCCCCAGGATCTGGTCCGCCTTGCAGTAGCCATGAGTCCAAATCCCTGGAAGCACTACCAGGATTCACCAGAAATCAAGCCAAATGTCCTGCCCAAGCAACGCCCCTCTTCTGTGCCCAGTGCTGCAACTGTGGGCAGCAGCAGGCAGGGAAGCAGAGTAGGTGCTAAGAATGGCACCTGGCAGTTCCCCTCTTCTGTGCCCAGTGCCGCCAGCTGTTGGGGGTAAGGCGGTTGCTCTTGGCACGCATTCTCAAAGCCTGCTCACTGGAATTCAGAGGAAGAGCAGGAGGGGGCCTTGGAATGTGGGCCAATTCCAAATGTTGAGATGGGAGAAGCAGAGGCATTTATCTCAAGGCCAGACTCCCCAGGTACTCAGGAAGTCTCTGAGAATGACCAAGATGTGCAGCTGTCAGGAGGGAGCCTAGAACAGGGGAGCTTCTCAGAGACAGAAGAGGTGGGTATGCTCTTGACCCCATGAAACAACGTTGGCAGGGGAGGATGGTCCAATTAGAGGATTGGCGTGCAAAGAGGAGATGTGCTTGTTTCCAAAAGGCCCCTTCCAAAAGGAGGGTGCCCAAACATACTGATAAGCAGAGTTCCTAGAGGCAAACACTAGATTAGGTTCAACAAACTGCTCTGTGCATGCTCAGAGATTCACTGTGGAAGTTCATACTTCTGGAAAACACTTGGGTCAATAAAGAATGTTCAGCTAGAAATGTCTGTTGCTTTGAATTGTGTGAAGGGAGGAAACTTAGCTCTCAACAGTGAAAGTGGCAGGTGGGGAAGAAAATCGACTGCTAAGAATGCAGCTCTTTGGGCAGCTGCACCTGATGGGAAAGGTTGCCAGTTGCACATCTGGGGGTCCATGGGTGCTTGTGGACTTCCTCTTGGCTCAGCTTGCTTTGCATGACTAGGAGAAGCACCAGAGGAAAACACATATGCTTGAGGAACAGATTCCAAAAGGGTTTGTCCGAACCCTATTCAAGACTAGTGCTTATGTAAGACCCAACCACACCTAAGACCACTGGTGGGAATACACAGAGAAGAGGGGTGGAAAGTGGGACCATATAAGGATGCTTTCTTAAAGCTATCATGGCTAAAGGACTAAAACATTGTGAATGCAAAAAACCCTTCAGTGCTATGCACAGTTTAATAAATCATAATTTGTTGTTAATTCCCACACAGCACTAATTGGTACATTTATTTTTTCTTTCAGTTCAAAGTATTTTTTCCCAAGGCGACTGAGGTGGTTTAATACAAAATGCAGACACATAACAAGACTTACTCAATGTCTAACACCATGTAGGGATTTGATAGTTCTTTATCTTGCTCATTGTGGTAGAACAGTATCTTCTTGCTGCTTACTACTACATACTTTAAAAAAAAGAGGAATATAAGCATAGGTCAGGTCATTAATTTTCATTTTTGACATTTTTTTTGAAAAAAAAAAGAATTTATCCTTTGGATTAATTGCTTCTGTAGTTTTTAAATTTTAACTGGATTTCTTGTTGTGGGATAATCAATACATGCAAATTTAACTCCCTCCTCTGCAATGCACAGAACACCTTAACCTATGGCTTTACCCAAAATACTCAACCTCTGATATGTATGCCCAAGAACTCTGATTTTTCCCTCCAAACTCCTGAGAGGAAACTGCCCACTGAGAAAGGCAATATGGGGAGATAGGCAGCCAATCACTCCTCTTACGTTGTAGGCACTTCCCACTCCAAACAGCTTTCTTTGCCTGCTAGCAGAAGACCTCTTGGACTGTGGTGAATGTAGTGTGCCATTAATTCCACAAAGGCCTATCATTAATCTTTTAAAAGCAGCAACACATCAAAAATTGTAGTTAAAGTTTTGTGATTGGGTTTGTGCCAGTGACATTAGTCATGACATACAATCTCAAAAACTACATTTCTTACCTTTTTGACCCATCCAAATTTCTTCGTGTTGTTTCGGGCAGGCAAAGATAGCCAACCTTCTAGTCTTGACTCTGAAAATATTAAAGTGAACAAACATTTAAACAATTATTTAGGTATACTGGCTTTAAAGGCATGTCAAGTTAAGCAAACATCTTTTTTTCAAAGCAATGTTTGTCTACAATTCTATAAGCAAATATTGTGTTGCAATCACTGAAATTCAAAGACGGAACTAGCAAAGCTCTACTCAAATAACTGTGCCACTACACATTCCTATTAGTAAAAGCTTTATGTCCCATAGATAAAACACACAAAGCATTTCTTTTTACTGCCTTCAATTCAATTTCTTTAGGTTAAAAACATTAACACACATAGCTGCAATGATGCAATTATATTGTAAAATATGCTGCAGGTTCCTTTTCTCAATATATAATCTCCCTTTAGCTTCAAAGCTATCACAGTGTTTCCTGGGATGGTATCTGATGTTAGTCCTACACAGAGTAAACCCAGTTAAATTAATGGGCTTTTATATTAGCCATGACTGACTTAAGTTTCAATCATTTCAAAAGGTCTACTCTACATAGCAATAACATTGGCTACTACCCTTGGATTTTAGTCCTACAAACTGCAACCAGCAAAAAGCATTCTTTTTGGAGCTTTTAATTTAGGTCTCATGGTCGTGGAAACCATAGTTAAATAAGAAAAGGTAACTGTTACCCTATTATAAAACTGATAAAATCAAATATTTTATTAAGAGGAACTTGTAGAGTCAAATGTATTAATATAAATAATAGGCCTTAATCAAGAAAGCTGGGGATTTTGAGTACATTCTCCCACATAATATGGCACTTGGAATGGGAATGGAAATTTCAGCTTCACTGAATACGAATAAAGGAGAATGCTAGATTTATTTAAAGGGCTTGATTTTGGTGGATGGGACAACCTCTTATAATTTTCAATGGGCCAAAATTACATTAAAAGGTGTTTTGTTAAAAGCTTACATATCTGTTACACACATTATTTATTTGCTTTTCACTGCCACAAAGCAATTCCAGCCCAAGCATTTTCTCACGAAAACTCATTCTTCAGCACTTCCATCTGTTTACTCAAAATTCTATTTTATGGTCCACAGAGTAACATCCAATTTTCCCAGCATGGCAGCTAATGATGTTGCGCTAGCATAAACCAGTGCTTGCACAACATAACCACCACTTGCTAGGGCAACAAGAGGCAATTTGCTGCCAATTCACCATCTTCTCCCTTGCCTGAGCAAATGATAGTACTGTTGTGCAAATGCTGGCTTCCATTAGCGCTATACCATTAGTGTTGGGACACAGTTGGATGCTACATCTGAGTGCCATTTTAATATATTTAGGTCCTCTTCCCAGCAGCGTGTTACTTGTATTCCCCTCGCATCCTGCAAAAGAAAAACACTTTCCCGTAAACGGTCTCTAAATGTTTGCTGCTTCTGGTGCTCCCATATAATAAGGAATTGTGCTGAGAACAGGAAAAGAACACAAAGGCATCTCCTACTTATTTGCACAATTTTAGGCAATGCATCATTATTCTTACAAGCAGGAGTAGTAGGACAGTGCTGGAGGAGAGCTTTGAGAATACCCTGGAGTGGCAGAAAGACAAACCAGTGGGACCAAGATCAAATCAAGTCAGAACTTTCCCTAGAAGCAAAAATGACAAAACTGTGGCTGCCATATGTGAGACACAGCATGAGAAGGCAAGACTCCCTGGAGAAGACAATTGTGTTAGGGAAAGTCAAAGGCAGAAGAAGAAAAGGAAGATCAAGCAAGGGATGGATTGATTCCCCCAAGGAAGCCACAGCCTTGAACTTAGAAGAGCTGAGAAGGGCTGTCACGGATAGGACCTTTTAGAGAGCTTTCATCATAGGTTTGCCATAAGTCAGAAACAACTTGACAGCACCTAACAACAGTAGCAGCATTTATATTCCTATAATGACCAAGAGCTGAAACTCTCTGTATTATCTCCTTAACTTAAGCTGACCTTCCTTTTGCTTTGTTCAACAAAGCAGGGGATGGCCTCTGCCAACAAGAAAAAAAGGGCTTCCTGAGTAGCAGAGTAAAGGCAGTAAGCAGCACTCAACGCAATGCTCCTGCATGGAGCACTAGCAGGGAAGGTTGTGTGCATGCTTGCACATTTGCACAGCTAGGAGATATATCACAGCAACAGTAAGCTGCAATGTATGGGGACTGATCTGTGAAGTACACCCAATGCCCTAATTATAGCTCAGTGGCTGAACAGCCATTCTGAATATGCAACTTCTTAGATCTGGGTGTAAAACAAGATATGATCTGGAAGCACAAGCTTATTTTAGAGCACTTCCCTATAAGCAGACCTTCCCAGAGAGACACCCCAGTGCATGCTCTCTAGGACTAAGTGACTTCATCACTGGGCATTTAAGTGAACCACACATATGTAATACAGACAATGTGGACTTTTTTTGAGAATATGGAAAGAATGTACAGTGTGCCATTTAATCTTCACTCCAAATTAAAATATCCCCTCACTGAATAAATAGGGAATGCTTCAATTGAAATCAATTAAATTAAATAATTAAGGATTGGTTAAGTACTAACTTCTTATCAGCAGATCAGAGGTAGGTGCATGAACGGGTGATAAGGGAAAGGATCCATCCATCAATAATATATTGCATTTCTATCTTGCCTTTTTCCCATTAGAGCCAACAACCTTTTCTGGTTTTTACTGGAGGCTGCACACTTGCCTCCCCCCCCCAACACATATGCAGCTCCTCCCTGCCCAATGAGATCTTAGAATCACTGGGCAGCGGGAGGCAGGAAAGTGGAAGGAAAAAAACTCTTTTATGCACCCAGCAATTGCCACCAAAACTGCTTCTCTACCACTAGTAGCACTGGAAACTAGGGAGCTACCTCTTTTTCTGTTTCTGTTGCAGCCCAACTGAAGGAGGAGAAAGAGGGGGGAGTCCTGCCAGCTTCGGGGGCTGCACAGAATAGCCATGGCCCACACGTCTGTGTATTGCTGATGCAGTCTGTGTATTGCTGATCTATATGCCAGGCACAATGCTCAAGATTAAAATAGCCATCTGTTTTTAACCACTAAATCCCTCCTTTCCTCATGCGGCACACTTCTCTTTGATTTTAACAGCTTTAAGGGTTAGTCAAGAAAAATCAGAGGCACAGCCTCTTCAAGCAACAGCATTCCATCACTGAGAGCTTGTCACCTGAATGGTCAAGTTCTGAAGGGGCTTGTGCAGAAGTCAGTGGTTCTTCCTCTGAGTCAGAATCAGAGTTGACAAACACATGAGAACTGGAAGGCTTAGTAGCAATACTGACAGAGGTAGAAGAGCGTTCGTAGGTAAAAGACATAGACTCCGAAGTGTGGGACTGAGTGATACGAACTGCGCGCCCAGCATATGGGGAGGGAAAGTCCGAAAAGAAGGAATGAAAAGTGGCTTTACAAAATGACAACATTTGCTTCTTCAGCTATTGCATTTTAGAATAATAAAATAAATGCTTTCAAACAAAATATGAGTAAAACATTCTATTTTTTCACATATTTAAAGGATGATTCTTTGCTAAGCGATTAAAATTTGGAGATGCAGTGAGAGTTAAAACTATTCCATTACTTTCTGTAACTTACAAAACATTAGCAAGCAGTCTAAACAGTTCTGTCCCTGTAGCAAAAGAGAAATATGCTAACAAAGGATGCAGTCTTACCAGGGAAGCCATCATCTGCGTCTGCTTCTCCAGGGCCACCACATATACTGCTGCTGTCTAGACCAAGGTGTAGTGATTGGAGCTGTGAGCGAAGCTGCTCGATGTCACTATCTTTGCTGTCAAGGGCCATCTGCAGCTCGATTCGTATCTGGCTCTCATCTGCTATTTGCTATAAAAGGAGAGTTAACAAGTACAATCAAACCTTGTCTCGGTCCTAAATTCTGAGTACAGTATAAACTCTTGCTTACAGAATTGCTTTGGCATGCTTAATCTAAGAGCATTCCTTGAACTCAAACTGCTAGAAGGTGGGAGGGGCAAATAAACTAAACCATGAAGTAGCCTCTATGTTAACACAGTGGTGTTGCACAAATCCAAGCAATGCTAGCAGTCGGAAGGGGATTGGGGGAAGGAGAATTACTGTAATGCAGGCCCATTTTCTGGCACCTTCCAGATGTGGTGAAATGCCGATTCTATGCTGGTTGGGGATGGTGGAAGTTACAGCCTCCCATACATCTGGAGAACATTACTGTAACCAGTTTAGGAATAAAGGGTAGATTCAACTGGTCTAAGCATCAGAAAGTCTATGAGGTTTGTGAGCATCTGAAACATTACTTGAAAGTAACTTTTCTTTCAAGTAAACTATGAAGCAGTTTTTAAGTTGATATATATGTTTGCATGCAGATCCTTACAGCTTGCATCTCATTAATCTCCCTTTGATACTTGATCATCATTGAAGTCAATTTCTCGCGTTCAGATTTTAGTTCCATGTGCAATTTCTTATTCTCCTTTTCTTTCCTTCGGACATCAGTATCAGCTCCTCGTTGGACTGGATTCTTGCGATTCATTACTTCAGCCAGCTTGTTCACAGCCTGAGGGTGGGATGGGGGATTACAGGAGGAGGAGAAACTGCTATGTTAGGACAGTAGGATCACATGAAATCTTTTAAATATCTAACTAAGACAATTTCTTCCAGGGTTTCCTGCCTGATAAATATATTATAAAATAAGTTTAGCAATTGTAACCATCCAAAGTTGCAAAGAATAATTTTAAAATGCATGTAATTGCTGAATAGCTTGTATGTTCTAAATTCTGAATGGCAAGCTAAACAGTGTTTAGTTTGCCCATAAGGCTTTGAATATTTTTTCACGGGGAGAAACAGAAATATAAGTGTATATACACGCAAACAATCTGTAGGTATATTTTTATAAATGTGTGTGATAATAGGCATAGATTTCTTAATTTTACCATTTTGTATCTCAGCTTCATTGTTAAAATACTTTCTTTTGTTAAAGCACAGTGTTCACGCTTTATAGTTTTCATGTAGCTCTATTGTTCTCTTTGTACATATGATGGTATTATTACTACTGTTTGAAAAGTAACAACACTGAGGATGCTTTGAAAGTCACTACTGAAGTCTCATAGTATTATATTAAAGTCTAAAATTGTGGACATTTACAAGATATTTTTTGTATCATGAGCTAATACTACTATTTCTTCCCCCTGACCCGTATCCAATACCAATCCAATTTTCCTAACCAAATTTCTCATTTTACTTTACCTGTGTCTTCATAGTTCTTTCATAAGCCAACTGTTTCTCATACTGAGTCTTGAGCTGTTCCATATCATTTTCCTCCTCATTAAGTTGGGCAAGTCCTGTAAAAGTACGGACAATAGTAACAGTACAGTAAAATGTTAAAAACAACAACTGATTGGCTAAAAGCCTTTTTTTTAAAGAAGCACTCACTTTCTTGGACTTCTTTAAGTTTGTTATTCAGTTCTTCCTTTTCATTTGCAAGATTAGCCACATCACTAGTTAGTGTCCTGTTTGCTTCTTCCAGCTAAAATGTAGAATTAAAGGAGGAATCCATTATTCATGGGTTTAAAAAACAACTGTTCAAAAGGTGGTGAGATTGCAGGAGTGTGGAGACTGTTGTCTCTAAAAGATTATATATGGAAAAAGTTGTGTGGTAAGCTGACAAAAAAATTAGAATGCCAAGCTTGATAACATTCTTATCAATAAAAATGTAACAAAGGACATTTAACACTACAAGATGCTTGACAAGTTTCTGAAAAAGTGACAATTAAGGACTAAAGGTCACAAACATGTTTAAGAATAAGAGACAAAACAGTAAAGTCACAGGATAGTTCTAAGCCTGGACCTCATTTACAGCAGAAAAATGGTGATCTGCATATATCGCCAGAAAAGGAAGAGTATTAAAACTAACATCTTAACTGTACTCACTAAATTAATTTTGATTCCTATACACTCTGGCTACAATTCTTTATCAAGCTACTAAAGCATGTAATCAGTGGTTTATGTAATAATCTACAAGATTGCAAAATGTAGCTCATTCTACTGTTTTTTTATAGCAGCAGGCAACAGTGCTTAGGTAAAGAAACCAAAGACCTTGTTATGTAAGGCTTCTGATGCCAAAAATTTTACAGCCAAATTATACACTTCTAAAGAAGAATCCAGTACTGAAACACCCATATTGAACAGTGCACTTAGTAGGCGAGTAAAAATAGATTTACTTCTCAGAAGGCTCAAAGGATTACTGTAACTGCATTGTAAAAATCAGCTCTGAACCTGGGAAACATTTTCTCTGAGCATTTGACTTTTTTCCCACTGTATAACATAGTTCAATACAGTTTCAGGCTTCAGGGTTTCAGTGCTGAAAATCTGTGTATATTAAGGTATTCTGCTGACATGAATAACTTACAATGAAATTTGATGTGGATTACTTACTGATCCTATTGTAGCATCTTTTTCAGAAAGTTCCTGTTTATGCCTAGCCATCATTTCTTTAATCTCCAACTCTTTCATGATCTTCTCCTTTTCCAAATCAGAGTACTGCTCCTCAGCAATAGAACGAGCCAACTGTTCAGAATCTGCTTTGGTTAACGTGATCTCAAGTTGTGCTGCCAAGGAATCCCTGTGGGGCAAGGTATTATTGTGGTTCAAGAAATTATTCCTTTAGCTTCTGAATTTCAGATATAGTTGTTCTGTTAACATATGACAAAAATAGCCAAATTCTCACCTCTCATCTTGTAACTCTTGTATCTTTTGTTGCATTTCTTTACAAAGTTTGTTTTTTTCTTCACACTCCTCTTTAAGTTCCCGCACTTGTGTTTTATACAGCGTCTGAGAAGGTTTTTTTAAACAAAGGAAAATTGATGTATATATTACAGCACTGGAGCAGTTAACTGAACAGGAAAAAGTCCCATTGGAAAGCCATTAACTTTTGTTCAAGATATGGAATCTTCACAGCTTCTTGTAAAATGCTTCATGTGACATCAGAAACAAGTATTCACAATGAACACAAATACTATTTAGTTTCTGGCATTATCAGGAAACACAGCTATGAAATCCCCTGTTCAACTAATCTCTAAAATTATCCATTATATATTCTCTTAATCTCAGACATAACTGCGATGTGAACCCTGGGACAGCTGCTCAAAAATCTTTTCTAATCACTCAGAAATCAAGGACAAGACAATTCACTTTGAATCCAGACAAATTACATTGCTAAATTACTATGGAAAGCAATGTTAAATTACTGGAAAGCTATATACATGACTGTAAATCTCCCAATTACCACAGAAGAAGGGAAAGTTATGTTTAAAGTAGATGTCGCTTGAGTACATACTGAAAAATACTGTTCTGCTTCAAGTTGGTCTTGAAGTTCCTTCATCTGTCCATCAGCATCTTGTCGTTCTCTGTTAGAATAATAATATATATTACACATATGCATAGACCACAAGATTCAGTCTCAATCTCAATTCAGAAAGCAGTCCTATTTGGCTCCAATTGATTCAAAAACCATCTGTTTTCCCTCAGGTCCACATCTTGAATCAGATATTCAAATCTTTATGCTTCCTGTTATTGGGGATAAAAAGCTATAACATTTCCACATGTCTCAAAACCAGATTAAATTTTTAAGCACCGCAGCTGCTTATGAGGGGACTACATCTGTCAAATTTAAAGTAAGCAGTTGCAACAATTGTTGTGCTACACACATTTTAATTGTATTTCTATTCAAAGGAAGTACAAATAACCTGTTTCTTTCTTAGCAGAATTTAATGAAATTTGCAAGGGTATCTTTTAAGGGTATCAGGTATGGAAAGCCTTTTGTAAGAGCAACCTTCAGTAATGAGGTTTCCACAAATAAAAAAGGGTGTACTGGTGTCCCTACATTTATTGTGGACAGCTGTTATAAAAAATGATACCCAGAATAGCTATGGCACTACCCTAGTTAAGATATAGTGCAATATGTGCAATGTTTTAGAACAATAGGTGCTACATCTTATGTGAAATAACATTATTCAAATTTGGAGGTGAGTGAAAATTACATTTCAAAAGAGAGGCACCTAAGCAAGGAACCTAAAAAATTCAGAAAAGGAGGTGCAAGTCATGATGAATAAAAATCTTGATAGACTTTTCAGTTTTCTATTCAATTGGCACCAAAAGTCTAAGAAAGTGCAATAGAACAGCAGTGGAAGCTGGATGTGGAACATACACTGGCAGAGACAGAAGGACTTGAATATCCAACCTTTTTCCAGTCAAGCACCTAATGCCACACTTTCTCAGGCTTCAACAGACTTTAACATTCTTGCTTATGGAGGAATGAATTAGCAAATAAGTGGAATACTTTCACCATATGGGACTTCAACATTCCTTCCCCAAAGCACCGTCACTGGAGAGCATTGGTAAAACCATTCACTGTTAGAAGATTCACTGTTAGGCTTTCACAGAACTATACCCATCCTCTTCCCAACCCCACCCCAGTATTTTCCTGATATGAAAAGCCTGAGAAAATTATCAACTTTTGAAGGTAAGGTATATACCTTACCTTCAAAATTTATGTGTTTTCCATCCATTTTCAGGAATATTCACATTCAAATTTGTTCTGCTTTAGAGGAGCCCTGCCTAGATTGGATGTCTGAAACTCTCCAACCTGATTTGATTTGGGATTCAACTGAATTCAAAGGACACCCCAGTAGCAACTCTGTTTTTAAGTAACACACATAAGTAGAAGATTATGAAATGCTGAGCATGGCAAAATACAAGATGGTTCATGTTTATAGAGAAATTACTAGGAAAAAATATGCCAGATTCAAAACTACTTTGACTTAATGGTAAAGTTTCCATATGAAAGTAACTTTTTCAGCAACTAAGCTGATACAACTACAAGCGAACTGGACCAGAAAAAATGAAATAGCAAAGAACTGAATTTCAATACATGTTCTTACATTTCTCAAGTTTGGGGGATAACTCATGGTGCAACAAAATTAACTACCTCATTATGTCTCCAATTCTTTAGTAGTCCTTTGTTCAGAATTAAGAATCAATTCTCTGTTTGGAAATCTATTGCTTTTTATGTGGTACCACATTATCTTATTAAGCGCTGCATGCATTATATGTGGGCCCCTAAGCTGCAAAAAGCCCTGCTGAAGTGACTTACTTGCGGAGTTCATTATTTTGCTTTTCCAAACTTAGCTTGATTTCAATAAGATGATTATTTTCCTGTTTTAGTTGCTTTTCTGTCATTTTCAATGCATTAACATGCTGTGTTTGCATCTTGAGGTCATTTTGTGTGAGGCAGCGCTTTTGTGTTTCCTGTTCTATTTTCAATGTCAAGTTTTCAACCTAGAAAATAAATGGATCCATTTGGTACATGAACATTTTTCAGGGAGAGGGGAAGGGGAAAATACCACACTCATTTTAACCAGTGGTAAGCCTAGGAAAACAAGCAGTCAGAAGATATGTATTTCAGTGGGGGGATGTGGGAAGAAAGTTTTACCAATCACAATGAAAGTTCAAAAAATACCTGAAGACCAAAACAACACCATCAAAAACCAAAACTGCACTAATGTTTAAAATTCATGACATGTTTTGAAAATACCTCTTTACTAAAGAGAATTCTCAATTCCATTCAAAACTTTGAAATTATTGCATAAGAACTCACTCCAGGAAATGTATCCAGGCAGAAGCTTTAACATTATTGAATTTTCCCTGTTTGTACTTACATCCTCGCTGAGTTTATCTTTCTGCTTAAGCAGCTCATTTATTTTCTGCTGTGATTGTTTTAGATCACAGTCCAGCATAGAACACCGCTTTTCCACTTCCAACAAGCAGTTTTCTACTTTTTGCTTTGAGACTCTCTCCTCTGAAAGCTTCTTTTCCATTTCTGAAGGGGAAAAAAGCCAAATATTTAATATATAGGAAACTAATGCCCATCATTCTTAAAACATCTTGTCACTTAGTCCCACCAGCAAACCATGAAGTACTTCTGGAAAAGAAAGTGCTACAATGCATGACATAAATTGAAAATACAGCTATTAAATATTATACAAACATGTATAACTGGAATCAATTTGGACAGAAAAGTCTTTGAAGACCCAGTTTGGGAAATGATTTTAAATTTTGCCCAGTCAGGCTGGACTGAACAAACATTTTAAAAATATTATGTAAGTGAGTCTTCTCAGCTTCAGTATTCAATGTCAGCTTTCTACTTTTCTACTTGAAGACAGATTTAATTTACTGCCTACACATATTGTCAATATTTTGTGAAAATGAGGTCACCTTCTTGATGCATGGGTGCTCCCAAGTTTTTATAGCCATTGCCTTTGACTAAGCTGGTCTTAAAACTTCTACAAGCTCCAGTGCAAGGTTAAATGGTGTGCGAACATTGTCAACCGTCCAACATTACTCAGAAGTTTACTCAGAATGATGGATTACATGCAAGACCGCATTTCCCTCTCCCAAGTAATTTAATGCATTATAATGTATTGTAATTTAACATGATATATATTATGATATACGATTATATATTATAATCATATTATAATATATAATTTTATTATGAAACTATCTTGACACAAGATTCAAATACCATCTTCAGCTACTCTGTTCTTTTCTTGACAAAACACAAGAGGTCAAAGGTATGATAATAAAAGCTGTAGAAGTTTTTTAACAGTACAATCCTACTGAGTTCAGTGGGACTTGCTCCCAAGTAAGTGCTTAGAGGACTGCAGCGTTAGACCTGTAAAATGTTTACCATGTGGAAGAGAAATGACGAGTGGATCCAAGACTTGCCTATATCTCACCACTTCTATCCCAAATCTAGATGGTGATGATTGACACATAGCTCTGAAGTTAAACAGACTTATTTAACATGATTAATTTGGATTATCAGATTTTAAAACGAAAATTAGCTTTTGTGATATAATGGCTAGAGGGTCTGACTCACATAAGGGAAACTCAGTTCCAACCTCCACTCAAGTATGAAGCTGGCTAAATAAGAGGTCAAATAAATTTTTCATCACTTAACCTACTTCACAGTATTATTATGAGGTTAGAGTGCTTGGTAAGAAAAAGCAGAGCAAACAAATATAATAAATGAAACTATGCAATGCTTACCCTTCATGGCTTCAGACTTGGCTTCCTCAATGGATTTATATATTTTGTTTTTGTCTGCTAGTCGAGCTTTTGTTGCCTTGTGTTCAACCTCTTCTTGCTCCAAGTTCTGCTGCATGACTTTGAGCTTGTAAGTCATATCTATTTCCATGTTGTTCTTCTCCTGTGAAATGTAAAAACATAGTAGTTAGTCAATGTAAAAGTGTAGTTACTTAAAAATAATCCTACTAATGCTACTAAAAATTCTGTCGTTTAGCTGAAATGCCTGACATGTATCAGAAGAAAAAGGCAGGCTCTGACTCTGATTCCTATTTAGGTCTCTCTCTAAAATTAGACTAATTAGGAATTGCATTTAATATTCTAACTTTATCAGAACTGTCATATAACTTGCATGCCATCACAGGTTTCAAGTGAAACTTGTCTTGCAGCACAAGGAAAAGCTTCCAAAGGAAAAATATAATTCTTTAGAATTTTCAAGTTGGTTAGCCAGACTGGCTTGAGTTCTTGGAACATGGCAGCATAGCAATCACATAACTCTTTGCACATGACCCTCCATATCCCTATGTTGTTCTTACATGCCATCAAATAATCTCTGATGTATGGTGATACTATGAATGCCTTTCGAGATGTCCTGTTCTTAGCAGCCCCTGCTCTGTTCAGCCCTTGTCATTCAAAGCAATTCCTTTATGGAACTGAGCTATCTCATATTTGGTCTTCCTCTTCCTCTGCCATGGTTGTCTTCTCCAGCGAGTATTGCCTTCTCATGATGTGCCCAAAGTACAAAAGCTTCAGCATTGTCATTTTTGCTTCCAGGGAAAGCTCCAGCTTGATTTGATCTAGGATCTACTGGTTCATGTTGTTAAAGTTGTGCAATTTTTGTTGTTAATATTTTGGTTTTCTTAATTTTCAGCTGCAGTCCTGCTTTTGCACGTTTTTTTCTTACATGTCTATCATTGCTGCTTTCTGACATTAGTATGGTATTATCTGCATATCTTAAATTATCCACCAATTTTCACTCCTCCTTCCTATGATCTCAATCCAGCTTTATGTTCTGCATATAGATTTAACAGACATGGAGCTTAAATACACCCACACCCAATGCCTTTGCCTATAGGAAGTCATTCTGCTTCTCCATATTCCATTCTAACAATAGCTTCTTGTCCACATCAGGATGATCAAATGCTGAGACACACCAGTTTCTTCAGGACCAAGCTTCTCACAATCCAAACAATCAAAGGTGTTGTTGTAGCTTCTAAATCATAGTCTAAACTTCTCAAATTCTTTGACGTGCTCCAGGACCCAGCAAATATTTGCAATATGAACTCCAGTGACTCTTACTTTTCAGATTCCAGCTCATTCCAAATATGGTAATATTCTTTGTGGCAACACCTTGAACATCATTTTGCTTACCTGGGACATTAGTACAATGGTCCTAGAGCTACTGCACTTCTTAGCATCTCTGTTCTTGGGGACTGGAATTTCCAATCTATGGACCGCTGTTTTGTTTTTCCTATTTGTTGGCCTATTCTTGTTAGGATTTGGGCTGATTCAGTCTCTGCAGCTTGCAATAGTCCTATTAGGGTACTATTCTATTGGGTTATCTACTCTGAGGGTTTTATTCATTCCAAGTGCCTTCAGAGCAGTTTTTGCTTCCTTTTCTAATATTGTAGATCCTTAGTCATAGTACTCCTCTTTGAAGAAGTCTGCCATCGCTTAATCTGCTCTGTATAGTTATTCCATAAATTACTTCTTCCTTCTCTTTATTTTCTCCTGGTCAGATAGTATGTCTCCCTCTTGGTCTTTCAGCTTTCCTAATATTGGTTTAAACTTCCCTGCGATTCCTTGCATCTTCTAGAAGAGATCATTGCTTTCCCTCTTTTGTTTCCCTCTTGTATTTCTTTGCACTGGCCACTGCAACAGTTCTTTTGCCTCTACATCACAGCTGCTGGAAAGTTGTTTCCAGGATTTTGATCCTATTTCTGTCACCATTTGCTTTTGCTTCTCGCCTGTCCTTAGCAATTGTGAGGAATTCTTTTGTCACCTATCTAGGCTTTTCCTTTTCACTATATTCTTTCCTAATAAGAGCTCTGGATTGCCATTCTCCCCTAATATTTCTGGTTTCAGCCCATTGCTCTTTTGGGTCACGGTCAATCAAGTTGAATATTGCAAATCTGTTCTTTATGTGGACTTGAAATTTTTCAGGAATGTTGTTTAAGTTGTATTTTGGCACTGCTTTCTGTTAGTGATCTTTTTCAGCTTTGATATTAAAAGTTCAAAGGTTCACTACCACAATCCGTGCCTAGTCTTGTACCAGCAGCAAGAGTACCACTTCTTCATCTCCCACTTCCAATTATATAGCATATTTGATTGTTTTGATGGCGATCTGGTGACTCTGTATATAGTCATCTTGTAGGTAGTGTAAAGTATGCATTTGTGATAAACAGACTGTTCACCTCACAGAATTATAAGAGTTGTTCTCCTGCTTCATTTCTTGCTCCAGCCCTACAAGATTGGATCATGCTTTTTCCTACTTTTGCATGCCAGACACCCATGATGATCAGCATGTCTTGTTCTGGCATGTTATAAATTTCCTTTTTGATGCCTGCATAAAACTTTCTAATTTCTTCTTCTTCAGCATCTGTTGTTGAGGGGGACAATTCAGTGATGGTTATGCTGATTGCTTTTTCATGAATTCTGATTTTTATGATTCAGTCAGACTTTGCACATTAGAACCGCTCCATTAGAGACACTCCATCTTGCCTCAGTATTAGAGCCACTCAATTTCTTCCAAGTCTGTCACTTCCTGAGTAAAATGGTTTGTGTTCATCTGACTGAAAATGCTCCATTCCAGTCCACTTTAATTTGCTCACACCAAGTACTGCAATGTTTAACCATTTCTTGCTTGCTTTACAGTTTCCGGTTTGCTTGGTTCATATTACTCAGGTTCCATGATGCAATTATGTGTGTTCTGCAGCATAAGACTTTCCTTTTCCAGTGAGCATGTTAGCCTCTAGGTTTCCTTTCAGTTTTGCATCATTAGCAGCAGCAGTGTTTGTACTTGTCCTTCACTCTTCCCCAGTGCCCTCTGACCAGGCAGTCTCATCTTCTGGCACTATCTCTTGTTTTATACTGGATTGTTTCATCTTGGGGGTTTCAAGGTAAGAATGTTCTTTTGCGTAATTGTAAGCAGAATTGGTTTGAGCTTCACTACTGCTGCCTGTGAAAGATCCTCCACCAGTGCTTGCCTTCAATTACCACTCTTGCCCAGTAGCTGCCCTACAGAAGTTTCTCATGGCAGCATTGTTCTTGGATTCTCTGACCCTCCCAAGCCCCTCACCATGTTACGGTGTTCACGCAAGAGGCAGCCTACATTGGCTGCGTTAAAGCAATACATATTTTACTATTTTCTCTGATGGTTACCTTTTCCAGTTCTGTGAACCTGTCCTGTAGCTGTCTTTTCTCTGTCTCAAGTTTAGCTAATGCATTCTTCCCATTCTTTACTTCTTCTTCCAGACTAGATACCCGACCTAAGGAAATATTTAGAAGAAGTCAACAGGAAAAGAGTATTAGCTACACATGGCATAATGTGTAAAATAAATAATATTTTATCAAGTACCATTTAATGCTATCTCCCAGATGTTTCAAAAGGTGTTGGAAAAATCAGAAAGCCCATCAGCCACTACATCCTGAGCAACTAAATGCAAGTATGTTAGTAAAGCATACTAGGAATGCTACTAAAATCCCAGGCATGTAACACTGTCCATTGATAAAATTCAGGCCAGATTTCGGAACACTGGTTTTCATACCCTGTAGATCACTGATAATCTCTGACCCATGAGTTCGATCTCTTCTTTCAGATTCTAGAACTGACTGAAGATTGAGGAAGTCCTTTTCAAGTCTGATCTTTGTATTCTCCAGTGCACAGTTTTTATCTTGCAATTCTCTATTATTAGCTTCCAACTGCTGAATCTGCTTTGTACTTTCTGTTTGGTTCTTTCTCAACCTGGCTGCTGTATCAGACTCTGTGCGTAGTAAAGCGTTGGCTTCATCCAGCTATAGAGCCATGAAGAAAAATCAGACAATTACACAGAAACCAAAATCAAAAGGCTTTAAAACATCTCCAATATGGCATTGCTCCAATAAAGCTTATCACCACAATCCCCTTTTTTTAACCAGAAAGACTCTAACTTACCCCTCAAACTGTTAGTCTAACTTATAAACAGAAATATAGCTTGCCTGTCTCTGTAGTTGAATTATTTTTTCATTTGATATTTGGGAGTTCTGGTTTCTCTTTTTTAACTCTTCAAGCTGGTCCTTCAAACTGTTAACTAATAAAACAATAAATTAATAATTCCAAACATATTTGCAATAGCTTTTTGCAAATTCCAAACAGCAAGAAAACAACATTGCTCATGGTCATCCCACCTCCCACTGTCAATGAATTAATATCTCTTTCAGACTCTAGTCCACATACCATCGTTTTCTAGATTGCGTTTTTTATCTGCCTCATGTTCTGCCTTCCGCTGATATTCTGCATTTTTATGTTGAATAAGAGCTTTCTCTCTTTCCAATTGTCTTAAAGCAGATTCCAGATTTTTTCTTGAGGTTGTCTAAAAGTACGCATTGAAAAACAAGAGGCATATTTATCATTCAAGAAGATGACTGACATTTTTCTAACTTTACAGCAAAGAGCCCATCAGCACTGATTAACACAGTAAATTAACAAATATGCTTCATATTTGGCTACCATAAATATACTATGCCAGGCAGATGTGTCTATGCACAATTGTGAACAGGTAGAAAATTTCCAAACAAAGCAGTCACACAAATCTATTTGTTAGAAATCTATGATTTGGATCTAAATGTGACTTTTTGCAAGCAGTAAGAAGCTTTAGAAGTCTAGGCCAGGTATAGTATAAAGTGAGCCATATCATTTGGCCTTAAGAGTCCACATTTAGATTGTAATTTATATTATAATGAAATCAACAACAAAGCACCAAGTATTATATTGCTAAATTAATACGTGATCACTGATATAGGTGAACAGATAGGGATATCTAAATCAGTTTACATTTTTCTCACCAATATGCTGTAATAGATATTCCAATTTATTTATTATTAAAGCAACAATTGTTAGAACTATACCACAACAATGCCTATGTGGACATACTCTCATTGCCTTGTTACCTAAAAGGATAGATTAAAAATACTGAAATACACAAATAAAAAAGTTCAAGGTGCTACTTTACCTCCTCATCCAATTCCTTTATTATCTTCTCTAGGTGATTATTAATGGTTCTGGGAAAACATAAGGAGAAAATCATACAATTATCTAAGGGAAACAGGGTGACTTCAGTATCTGTTGTAAACTTTGAAAGTCTCTAAAACCTTATTAGTGGCTGCTAAATTACATACAACACAAACAGAACTGAAAGTGCTCCAAATGCTCTTAAAAATTTCACATTATATGCCTAAGTATGTGACATGAGAATATGCAAACACTAACCAAAAAGCCTGAAGCATACAGATGTATGAAAAAGAATAAAACGAAAGCAGTCATGACATTATGACTTTGCAGTTAATTCTTTTTGAAATTAGAAATTATCAACCACATTCACCTGAAACAACCAGTTCTACTACCGGGAAAGCAGGGGCAAGAACTGGAATACAACTCAGTCCTATGAGAGTCTGCCAACCACCAAATGAAATGAACCCACGAAATATTAAAAAACACAAGGAAACAGTATAAATTAAGGGTGTAATCCAATGTCCTGCACGCTCACTGCATGAAAGCATCTAAACTTGGGAGGCTTACATGCACCCTGTGAGTTGCAAATAAGGAAGATGGATGGTTGCTTTGAGTTCTTGCTCCCAAGGACTGCTGGCTGGATTACAGAAGAATCAGAACATGAAGCAGATCAAAGGGCAAGTGCTTGAGGAAGGCAGTGTTATCTCAAGGGCAGATGCCTCAGGCAGGCAGGCAGCTCTTGGGAATGACCAAGATATACAGCAGGCAAGAGCAGACTCTGAGAATGAGTGCATCTCAGGCACAGGCCAGGCAGCCTTGGTTCAGCCCCATGATGCAGCATCAGCAGAGGAGGGTGGCCCATACAACGAAGAGGTGTGCTCTCTTTCAGAAGGTCCCTCCCAAAGGGATGGGGCCCAGGCATGCCCGTATGGAGAGTTCCTGGAGGTGAATACTAGATTGGGTTCAACAAACTGCTTGGTGGATGCTTGGAGATTTGTTCTGGGTGATTTGTGCTTTTGGGCCAGTAAAGAATGCTTTACAAGGAAAACCATCTGTGGCTTTTGAAACTTGGAAGAGCAACCTTGGCGCACAATACAATGTATGGAATGAGGAACAGTAGCCTCCACATTACACCATGCATTTTTAGAAGGCTCTTTTTGGCCCTCTAGATAAAGCACTAGGGAGAGGAAGAAAAGGAAGCTGGGGCACTGCTTGGAAATACTGTAATCTGTGGGCCACTGTTTGCTATCCCTTTTTGCACAGTTGGGATGGGAGTGGAGGCAGTCAGTGCCCCCCTCCCCTTTTTTTGTACAACAGCTAAGCAAAGGCCTGAACTTTGGTGTCAGATTACAGGATTTCATAGCTAGGACTCCAAAAAATCCTATGGATTCCCAGATGATGCTGGGAGGCAACAGGATTGCAGCTGTGTGAGAGATATATACTGCTTTTTATGGCCCTTGATACAGGCATTCTTTCTCATATGGTACTCAACTGCACATTTCTCAAACAGCTTCTCCATGACAGGGAAAAAAATTTTTACCTGCATTTCTGTTCGAGCTCATCTTTGGCTTGAATTTCATTGCGAAGCTGGTCTTCTAATCTGCTTACTTTTTCCTGAAATTGTGCAAACTGACAGAAGAAAAACACAGTTTCTAAGTGCTTCTCAAATGACTGCAACTTGTAAAGTTAGCTCACCTAAATGAATGTCACCAACCTTATGACAATAACTAAAAATATTTTTTTGTTTTAGCTGTAACCATATCTGAAACTATGAACTACACTCAGTAGTTCATGGAAATATCAAGAATGCTACACTATATTTGGTAGAAACAAATCCCCACTCAGTGACTGCGAAGAATAAATTAAAATTCATAGGATGCTCATACTCATAGCCATTAATGTTCTTAATGTTTCTAACTACTGTAAATGGCATATTTCAAAGTCCAACTTTTTTGAAAGTTGCAAAATGTTACAAATATTGTAAACTTATCAGTTTGCAATATGCAAAGTTATAGATTCCAGCCATAAAATTGCTTTAGTAAATTATGAAAACTTCAGTGGGTGCAAATGTGCCCCTTAGGTAAGCCTTGAAAGTTTGAGGGATAGTAATAAATTTCATAGAATGTGATTGTCCTCTGTATTTTGGATTTACTGAAAAAACTCAATGTATTACTTAAAATTTGCTAAATACTTTACATATCTACAAACAAATGGTAGGTTTTTAAATACCACTTTTTAAAAATGTGAATATATGAAAATAAACTGAAAACTCATAAAAATTAGCTTAGTATTTCTTAATGAGTGGTAACTCTCAAGTTTATCACCACCAACCAAACACACAATTACTCTCGGGAATAACCAAGTATTGGATACTGTTTGTTTAGAATGGTATTTTGGAAATCTCCAACCTACTAGAACATATTTTGAAAGTTCATTGCATACTGAAAGGTGGCAAACCATGTCATCAACAGTGTAAAATATTGGACTTACCTCTTCAATATCCTGTAAAAACAGATATAAAAAATCAGAGATCAATGCTCCTTCCTTCCTTCCGTCCTTCCTTCCTTCCTTCCTTCCCTTCTAACAAGTCTTCCCATCCATATTTTCCAACCACATATATAGCCTCACTACCTTGGTATTTCCAGACTTAATATTGATACTTTCAATTATTCTAAGAACTAAATATAAGCCATATAATGACCAACAGCTCCTTTAGTTATATTAGGACTACTCACAAGTAGTTCTAGAGCTGTACAATTCATGTTAACTGTTGATAAGCTAACACACACAGTGAAAGTAATTATCATGCGTAACAAATATTTTACATCCACTTAGCGTTGATCACTAAAAAGAGAATGCTTGCCTCATTTTTCCTTGGTTCGTTCTTCCTAGCCCCATCATTCTTGCAGGGTTCAACTTCCCTAGAGAGCTCAGAAAAGTCACTTAGCAACCTGTTGAAAACAACTCGGGTTTTTAAAAACTCCAGCGACTATGCCAATCAACTCATTTTAATCAATTCTCTCAAGTCTTAATCCCCACCAGACTACTCTCAGAATGAAGGCACTTTTATTCAGTGTTAATTCTCCTTCTTTTCATGGTAAATGACCCCAAGGCCTTCTGGTTAAAAAGAGAACAGACTGAGAGCTTTTCTCAAAACCCATATACATTTTAAGACTTTGCAAATACCCATGCCAGTGTCATTTATTCATACACAGAACTATATTACCATGCAGATAAATATATGTAAATATGAAAGCAAAAAGTCCAAATATTATGCATATTTTACTTGTACTCCTCTCACTGCATTCACGCACACAGACCTATACCAAATACAGTATTTATGGAAATTATAAAAATACACCGTATAATGAAAACTATGAATATTAATCATGACTGTAGCAGCAGGCACAATTGTCATGCATATGTTCACAAGTATATTACATACAGATTTTCTCTAAAGTACGTAAATCCTATGAAAGGCAACTGGTTTCCAACAAAGGCTTTGGGGACTGGAAAGGTTTCAACATCTCCTTTATCATCTTCAATGTCATCAAAATTGCTACTGTCTATATCACTACTCAGCTCAGGTACAACTGGAGCAGCAGCTAAAAAGAAAAAAGGGCAAATAGGTATATTAGAACAAAACTGACCATCTTGAAAAGCAGTTATTTCTTCTGCCATGAAAGAGATTTGCCCTATATAGCATGCTATCTGTGTTCGGTAGTGTGCCAAGATCTTCACATGACCCCAGTTTCACACATCTTGAAAGACTGAGAAATTTACACTTTCTGAAAGCTGCAAGTGAACAGGAAGTATCCCTCCCCTCCTTCAAGCTTGTCCTGAGGATCATGAGACGCTCCTGAAGGCCATAGCAGCTAAGGGGATGTACCAGAAGTAGGAACAGATACGTAGCTTGCACAAGTGGAGCTCGGGAGAAGTTTTATAGGAAGGGCAGGGAAACTGTGGGCAGGGGAATGCCAACATGTAAGCTCCCTTGTGTTTGTAGTCCTCATTATCCAAGCCACAGAATTAAGGCCAAAGGGGTCAACTGGTGAGTCACACCACATGGCTGCAGTGCTACATGTTTTGTAGGACTGAAAGAGGTACAAAATAAGAACTCAAGCCAACTCAGAACTATTTTACCTTACAAAAGTAAAGCGACATACATGGCTAATTAACTGCAGGTCACTTATTGCGACATGCAAACCATAATTTTTGAGATAGTGCATTCCAGGGTTTACAAATGTTGGCTTAGGTCTTTGTAGGTCAACTATCTTTGTAGTCACCCAACAACATCACCAGCCCCAACCAAAATTCTGTAGCACAAACAAAGAACATGGAACAGAAAATGGCTCTCCTCACACTCCACATGCAAACAGAATGCAAATACAGCTGAAGATAGTGGAAGAAGCCTGAACAAATGAGGTCCAAAGTGCTTCAGGCCATTTATAAGTGAGTTCAGCACTGAAGGAAATATTAACTACAATAAATGCTGCTTTTACATACATGTATGTAAACTGATTTCATTCTCTACGGTGCTTAAGTGAGAAAAATGCAGGCGATTGTAAAGCTTTGACATATGCAGGAAAATACAATTTACAAATTGCAGGTTCTACTGAGACTGTTTTAGAACTTCTTTATTTTTAGTCCATGCTAACCCAACTGAGGTTTTACAAAAGAAAGAACTTTTTTCATATTAAAAAGGTACTTACTGTCTCGAATGTTATCCCAATCCCATTGATCATTCTTAAAGAACGGATGCGATTTAATTTCTTCTACTCCATTCCTCCCCAGACGCACCTCCCTAAGCATAGCAATTAATACAAACTGTACATTATGATCAATAGCCTTTCATGTTCAAATAATGTATTCTTAGATTCTGCTTAAGTGCAGAGATGCCTAAGCATTAAAGATATAGTATAATTCAGGGCAGCTTTTTCATCAAAATGAATTGCGATTCAAATCCTCTCAATATGCATGCTCTCAGCACTCTCTCATATGCAGAATGAAATGGCTGAAAATCTCAGTCTGCCACGTGTAGAGTAAAACATATTTCCAACTGGATAGTGTAGAAAAGGAATGCAGGAAAAAGCTTTTTTAAAAAACGCAAACCTATCGAGCTTGCCAAACCACAGTACAAACATTTGGATATAAACGATGGAAAACCTGGCTTCCAAACACAGAACGGTTATTCAAACCCTACTGAAATGAGTATTTCAAAAACTGCATCCTTTGCCTCTAATTTAAAAACACCCACACACATATACACACACCTCTTCCTTAAAATGTATAATGAAACCACTATTCAAGGGTCAAATTCATTTCTTTTAAAAAGAGCTTTTTTGTGTTACTGAAAGCTCATGTAGGAATTCACTTGTGTACTAGAATAAGTCAAATGACAGATATTCCTTGTCATTTTTAAGTACTTCAGAAACAACTGTATATATATTAAAGGGTACTCTGTTTTAAACAATTCTACTGAACACCATATTTAATGTAAACAGGAAAGCATACGCAAAGAGGATGGGGAGAATCCAAGTATGCTTAAATATAATGTGGATGAATTTTGGAATTGTTCTTATAGCTGACATGTTTGGTTTTTGTTATAACCAAATTTAGCCATGCAACTGCAAGATTCTACGCTGGAAGAAGAGGATGTTATGCCATCTGAGGGTGCCACTTTAATCCCTGAGGTTTCAATCCCTCCAATCTCCAGTGGCCCTACAGGCACGAAAACCATTACATCAGCTGGTACAGCCCTATTTGAATGACTGTATCATCGCTCTGCCTCAACATAGTAACTCTAATTAGACAGGGATCATGACATCAAGTGTCTTTCCCCCACTATCCCTGCCAATCTGTTTTTTGTAACATGTTACCTAATGAAGACATTTGGAGGTTTCAAAAGCTTCCATTTGTTTGTTATGGAACTGCTTAGTTAGCCTAATAAATATATTATTATGAGTGTTTAGTTAGCCTAATATGGACGTTGGAATCAAGCAATTCAAGAGCTTTTCTCAGGCATTACTTTCTCCTCCTTTCCCTCTCTCCCCTTGAACATGGACAGAAGCTAAATTAATTCACCTCTTGCACTTTTTGCAAGGTTGCTCAATATATGACAATGCTCCATGCTTAAAAGTCCATTGCTTAGGTCTGCAGAAAGATGCTTATTTCAGCTCTATTTTTTCTGATTCTCTCCTCACTCAACATACATGACAAAACATTGGCTGAACTACTGAGAAAAGGCAGATTTTAGTTTGAGTTTGATTATGCACAGAATCTCATCAACTGCGCTCACTAGATGACACAAAGTATGTTCTCCTGAAAACATATTTTGATAGGACAGTTAGAACAATTCCATTTTACTGAGAGAGAACAATTTCTGCCAGCCTCTGGGCTATGAGGTGCTATTTTATCTATTTTATTCTGATTTATGTTGCAAGCTGTCCTGAGACACAAGTAATGGACGGCATACAAATTTTATAAATAAATAAAGAAAGAAGTGAAGCAAACAAACAAACATACCTGTCTGTTAAAAAGGCACAGATAAGGTCCTTCGCATACTTTGAGATTTCCACATCTTCTGGGAAATGCAACGAGTTTTTGTGATCCATTATTTTACTGTATGTTCCAACCAATGAATCAGCATAAAAAGGAGTATCTCCTAAAATTAAAAAATGCATCAATATTAACCACTGTAAGTTCACTACAAAAGGGAAAAGCAGAAAATAAAAATAACTTCAGATGATGAACCAAGCAACCTACAATCAAAAGAAATACATAGTGGGTCTTTTCAAACTAAACTGATTAAAGCAAGATACCAGCACAAATCTGTGCAAGCCTTATATTACAACATACATAGAAGTATGTCTAAAGTATAGAAGGAAGCTTTGGGACAGGCACTTCGGTATAATTAATGTTCCTCAACTCAAAGGAAAAATATGTCAGTATACTGTGTGATTTAGCATGAAAATTTCTCATGTTGATCCAACAACTCTTAGGAAATAGAACAAACTGGAAGGTGGATGAGAGGATATTTCTGCAACTGGGGTGTGGAATTGTATTTCATCCCTTTGCCGCAACAACCTAATCAATGGTTACAGAACAATCAGTTGGTGAGGGTTTTTTCCTATAACCATTCTCCTTGCCTTCTTAGGAAGCCCACCCGCAAACTGTGAACACCTAGCTGCAGCATAACAAGTAGATTAATTAAGGAACAACCTAATAACTATGGTCTACTTGCATCAAAAACCACATGGGATGTTAGCTGCAATGCACAACCTTTTGTGATCCAAGCACTATGAAGGGACAGGACAAGAGGGATCGCCTACTTACCAACCAGCATCTCAAACAGAAAAACTCCTACAGACCACCAGTCACATTCCCTTCCATAGTAACCATCACCGCCTTGTGACTTTAATACTTCAGGTGATATGTAGTCTGGAGTTCCCACAGCTGTATCACAACGCACCATCCCTGTCTATATAACAACACAAGAACAACATCACCATAAGATGTAGTAAATCAATGCTAGTACTACAGCTTAACTTCAAAGATAATTTTAAGTTGTTAACTGCATCTTTCCTTTAATAGTTGCTAAACATCCGGTCAAGGGCAGACTGCTCCTTTGGCACAGCAGTCCTCCCCATGATCCTCTAGTGATCTAACCATCCTACCCATTTCGTCAGTTTCACTGAGACCACCTATAGGTCCCAGGATTGAAGGAGGGATGCTGCACTGCCCCAATCCAGTCCCTGTGTCTCTTGTAATGGGGGGATAGTTGTCTTCAGTTCAACAGCAAGTGGGGCCAGTGGGTGGGTTGTATGAATGCACAGATGATCACTTGAAGAACAAGTTGTAATAAGTGACCTGACTTTCTTCCTTGTGGTCTCCGTGCATCAAACATATGGGTGACTAGCAAGCTTACCCTGGAGGCAGGATGATGTCATCACCGGAGGATAACAATGAATACCTGAGTTATGGTTGCTTTTTTGTGTGCCCCAGGAAAACCAAAACATAAGCTAAAGCACGCAGAAAATACAAAACTCAAAAGACAACATGTCTTTCTATATGCTTTAATATTTTTATAATGTTACTGTAGCATAATGACTAGGGCTAAGTATTGGGTTTAGTTTTTACTTCTGTCATAACTCAGGATCTCCCAAATTCATATATTTATATTAATACTGTTATACCATGCAACAGTTTTCTATGAATTGTTCAGACGTCATTTTAAAACATTGCATTATGCAAACAAGTCTGATCAATCCTCAGATTCAAGTGCTTCTCACTTGTATTCTCCACTGACACATGCCTAGAGAAACTCCCTGGTTTAAACTAATTACAATTTGTTGTTATATCCAAAAAGAGAAGTGTGGTTAGCTGAAACACTCTTACCCTAGAACTACAATTCCCAGAATCCCCAGCCATTGGGTTTTTGCCATGTAGACCAGGGATGCTAGAAGTTATACTCCAGCACACTGTACACCACACCACAACTGAAGGGTACCAGGTTAGAAAAAGTTTAGTTAATCCAATTACTGTTACCGTAGGGAAAGAAGGGAGAGGATCTACTTTAAGTTTATTTTTAAAGAAACAGCTTGTTCTTTTGTGAGAGTAAAGTGCTTAAAATTGAAATTCTAATTTTATATTTAACTTTTTTATCAGTTCCTCAATCAATCTTGGTTCACAGCTCCTAAGCCTAGGAAAAAAAAAAAACCTCCTAGTCCTAGAGGTCTTACTTAACAGTCAGCTGTGCTACGTATTGTATGTTCTAGAGGCTGATATTAAAACGTGGTCTAAGGCAGGGGTCTCAAACTTGCGGCCTGCGGGCCAATTGCGGCCCGTGGGATGATATTTTGTGGCCCCCACGATATCAAAGTTTAGTGATAGTGCGGCCTGCACATTTTTTTCACACGCACCTGCGTGAGTCGTTACCCTGGGCGCAATGTTCCCTCTAAGCTGTGTGCCGGCACGGGGGAGGGGCCCTGCGGCCTTCAAAGCACTGGCGGCGCCCGGGCCGGCCTCCGGGAGCAACGCGGGATGAGCAGCCCACCACCACCGCGGTGGTGGAATACTTGATGTCGCCCAGCCTCACCCAGACTCTACTTCCAGCGGCCCCCAGGTAAGCTGAGTTTGAGACCCCTGGTCTAAGGGGGCTACACTGGGACAAATAATGCAACACAATCAATATACAAGTAGTTCCAACAACTAGTATGATCTAATCTCCATGTTGTTCTATCATATCTTCTGCTGGCAACCCAATTCCCCAAATAAAGGGTATTGTGCTAGCACAGAATAACTCAGGAGCTGGTCCCATAAATGACTACCTTATATAAGTCCACCAACAGAGCAGCATTAACAGCAACCACCAATTATGCGGCCATATATATGAAGCAAGTCCTACATAAGTGTGCCTAAGACTTTGGCCTATGGCCACAATTTAAAAAAAAAAACCTACATATGGAACAAGACCCCAACAATGACTATAAAACAGGGGTGAGGAGCCTTATTTTATTTTTTTATTAAATTCCTAACCCACCCCATTAACCATATGATTCCCTGGGCGGGTTACAGCAATATAACATAAAATGCCACAGAGGAAACCTGATAGGGGCTGCATGCCAGTAGTGCCGAGACCAGAGATGAAAGGAGACATGGTGACCTCAGGCACACACCCCATTTTCACCCCATTTAACGGGGGTACAGAGTTGGCTTCCTTGGAAGCAACCACTCCAAGATGCTCAAAGCATCTTGAAGCAGTAGTTCCTGAGAAACCCTGTTCTATGGGCCCTTTCTGATGGAGAAAGGCAAGGCAAATTCAAGGGATTTTCTGGGAGGAGGAAGGGCCTCTGAGGGCTCAGGTTTCCTTGCTCCTACTATAAAATTTAAGGACTGCAAATCTAACTGTTCCACAACAAATGGTGCAGGAGACCTGTCTGCGTTCAGCTACCAACAGGGATGCAAGGCAAAATCACCTTTGCTTAACTGCAGAGTCGAACTCAGACTTCTGCTAAATCTTATAAACCTCCCACATCCCCTCATTTCACACACACATCATAATAGCTTTTTAAATACATGCACAAGTGCCAATCTTGTAATAAAATTGATAAGGAAGATATAAAATGACAAATTTTGAAAGACAAAATCACCAGCCTTGATAGGAAATTTACAACAGGGATATAAAATGACTGCTATGGTAAATAGTCAGTAATCCTATAGTTACATTTGTAACACTTATATGATTTACAAATAAGAAAAATGACTTTCAGCAGGAACAATAAAGAAAATCATGAATAAAATTTATGAGTAGGACAACTGTGTTCTACACTACAGAAAATATCTGAACAGTTTGGTAATATCTATTATATATTAAAAACATATTGTTGTTGAAAAGTAATTGTTTATCAGTGGCTTGTTGCACAAGGACACATTATAAGGCCAAAGAGGAAGTGGTCATAAATTCCAAGCTAGAGTTACTTCCGAAGCTGCTCTTTAAGCTGATAGATACTTAGAGTACTATACAGCACTGTCCAACGTACCTCAAGAAGTACACAGTAGATTGGAAAAGGTGCAGAGAAGGGCAACTAAAGGAATTAAAAGACTGGAAAGTCCTCTATAATGGGGTTATAGTATTACCTCTTCCAGATATCATGCCTGTGACAGCTAAGCTTAGAAAAAAGTAATGGGAGATACAAGGTGTACAGAATTAGGCAACATGCAATGGAATTGGAGAAGGGGATGCTTTCTTTCTTCTCTTACAATACTAGAACCTGGGATCATCTTATAAAGGTGAATGGTGGGACATTCAGGCCAGATAAAAGGAAGCACCTCTTCACATAACACAGAGTTAAACTATGGAATTCACTACTACAAGATGTAGAGATGGCCACCAAACTGTACAACTTTAAAAAGGGGATAGACAAATTCACAGAAGATAAGGCTATCATGGGCTCCTAGCCTTGATGGCTATATACTACCCCCAATACCGAAGGCAGTAGACTTAAGTATAACAATTGCTGGAGAATACCAGTGAGAGCTTCTCACAGGCAGCCAGGTGGCCACCATGCAGGGCTGGCCCTCCCTTGAAGCAGGGTGAGATGCCTGCATCAGATGGTAGAGTGGAAGGAGCACTGAACTGTGTTGCTCCAAACACCCCCTCACCAGTGCCCTGCCACTTCCAGGGGGCCCTCTGGAGAGCCCTACTGGCTATTCTCTCAACATCACATTTCCCGCATTTTCTCATTGTGTTTCCCCTGCTATGCTCTCTTTTTCTGTCCATCACAGGACCAGTGAACCGCCTGACCCCACCCTGGTGCTCTCTGTGGCTGGTACTCTGAGCATGGCTGACAGTGTCTACTAGAAGATGCTGTCCATGGTTAACTGTCAAGTGCAGTAGCTCCAAACAGATTTCAGGTATGATCCCAGCAGCTGCAGGAGAAGTGGGGGCAAAGGATGACCCCAGTGGCAGCAACCCTGACAAGGGAAAGGGGGCAGTTTGGTACAAATCAGCAGCAAAACCAATGACGTAAACAAGAAAGGGGGAGGAATGAAGGGGCTGCCCAGTTGTGCTTCAGATAAAGGGCTTGGTATGTTTCTATTAGGGCTGTCGGTCTATACAACTGACTATTCACACACACGGAAAGCTAGACTTTGTGAAATGAAAACAGAAGCAATGCCCATGGGCACAGGTGACCTGTTTAGCAAGGCAATCAGAATTTCTCAGTGAAAAAATTATAGCTCTGTATTTGCATTAGAAAAAGAAATGTCATGTATACTCAAGATTTATAAGAGCTGCCTTGCATACAAGTACTTCTATATCAAGTTCTTTGGGGGAACATGAGGCCTAAATGGTGACCCCTACAACAAAAAGAAATTGTGCATTCTTGGTTCCAAGAAAGACCCACTAAAGGGCACCTGATCCAGTTCTGTTGCTCAAGGTGAGCAAATTAGCCGACTGAATAGAAGACATGTAAATGTTTAGTTTTTTGCAAGAGAACAGAGTATAGGCTTTAATTAGCTACTATAGAGGCTGTATAGGTCTCCCTAAATGGCAATTACTATTCCTCACCTAGCACATGAAGAACACGAAGCTGCCTAACCCACAGTCTACCACAAATGTACTGAAGGTACCAACTACAGCACAATCCACAGATCCAAATGCACACTGTTGGCCTGCATTTCCACCTGCACTAAAGCAATGCACCCCACCAAACTGTCAGCTACATTTCAGACATAAATGCATTTAACAAAAAAATTTCCTATTTGAAAGGGCAAGTCTGAGCAAAACATCTCTTGCACTATGATAACTGAACCTCTATTTCACCTATCAGCTTGGCCTGTGTTTTTAAAACATTTTTAATAAAGCAGTCCAAGCAATAGTCACAAAGTATCCCCATATTCGTCATCCATAACTGCATTCATCTCTTCCTGGTTCAATATATGTACATTGATGCTGCATCATCAGATAGTCTTCCCTCCTAGCCTTTTGTGGATGCATGCTGCTCTCCAAAAACAAGTTAACAGAATGATCCCCAACTTCTTTTTAATGATAAAATCCAACAGTAGACAATATGAAATTACTTAAATCTTCACAGCTTTTACAAGAAACTTCAAGTACTTTTATTGTAATGGCCACCCAGAGAGCATAATGCTTACAGGCAGCTTTTATACAAATTAAATAAGCAAGCAGTACGTCAGAAAAATGTGTACAAAATCTATTTGATAGTATGTCACATTTCTAATTTTATCATCTTGGTAATCACGATGATAAACTGAAACAGATTTATAAACATTTTCCTTTACAAGCAATCCTAGAAGTAATAAATTTGCCATACATTTACCCTGCTCTTTTGAATGAAACATTACGTTTTAAATATTAATGACATTAATATTTCTGTAAAGTCAAAACTGGAAGCATATTATGCATAGAATTACATTTACAGTTGAAAACATATTTGTTCCAGAGTTGTTCTATTAGAGTTACCGTGACTGCACTGGAATAAGTGAGTATACATTGCTCTAATGGTAAGAGTACTATCCTTCACTGATGTATTTGATCTACTTGTCGAGCAAATAATCTGAAGACCACTAGGGGATGCTATGGGTGTACTTATAAGTAGTGAACAGATGCCAAGTTATTGTTTTCATTAGTAAGCAAACTCTAATGCAAGAGGCTAAGGACACTGAGGCCAACTGCTTCCCTGATCGCTTGATTTGCCTGTGTTTACTATTACAGGCAGAGTTCTTCCCCACTGTCAGCATGCTTAGGAAATTACTTGGAAGTTAAGTTCCACTTTAAAAAACTCACCTGCAGGTGAAAGCAGTTCATGTTCAAGTATACCCAAGCTATCTATAGCAATATATATATATATATGTTCCATTCTACCAGACAGAATTTATGATGTTCAAAAGTTTTATTTTAGTTCACCACTACTATTAGCAGCTTTAATCAATCCATTGCTGCAATTCTAATACTAATGCTTAACTAAATATTCCAATTCCCTGGCAGGAATTTTAGGTGTTCTTCACCTTGAAATTAATGTAGTAGATTAAAAAGGCACAGGATTTGTATTTCCTGCTCCATTTTAGGTATTAATCTTGGGTTAAATTTCCTCTCCAGTTTGCTGTTGTTGATCTGTGCTTGGCTTATGTATTCTTACATTAAAAAGATGGTCATGGGCCAAGACTGGTAAAGCAAACAGTGGAAAGTGGAAAAGATGAACCAAAGAAGGTAAGCGGGGGGCGGGGGAGGGAGATGGGATGTTGTTATTGTTGGTGGTGATGGTGATTTCAGTTCTACACCACACAACAGCCCATGCTCCCTGGGGGGCTTGGAACAGTTCCAGCTGCCACTTCGGACTGAAGTGGCACCTCTCTCAGGAAAAGTGGGCCGTTATCTCTTACATCTAACTCACACCAAGAATTCCCCAGGTGTAATTTGTGCTACTACTGAGGTGTGGGGAAAGCTGGAAAGGTTTATGGTTTCAAAGAAACAAATTTATCTTGATATGCTTCAATTACAAGCCAACATGATTAATCATGTAACTTGTTTTTCCTTGTTGACAGCCCAGAACAGAAGTAGATCCATGTCCAGTAACTACAACAGGCCATGATCAAATGACTACAATACGGATTTTCCAATTCCACCCCCCCCCCCCAACACCTCATTGAAAACATTCCTTGTGCCTGGCCAGTCACTTCTGAAACTCTGAACGGAGATTTCCGGATCATTACCACAGGGATGCCTATGTGGTATTTAATATTCCTTGACTATTCTGAAAACTAATAACGACTGCTGAAGAAGAGAAATTCAGAGGCCTTTCCTCATAATAAACATTACCAATCATAGCTGTGGTGATTGAAATAGTATCTTACAGCATATTTTACATTGTTCTCATATTCCTTGAAAGCAGATGTAAGGTTAAAGCCAGGTATTTAAATATGAATCACAGAACTGAATCCTGAACAATGTAGCCAACTGCCTGTCTTAAACAGTTGGGGTGCGTGTTGGACTATTTGCCTAATTACCCACTCAGGTGTAGCTTCAAACAACATAGCTTGTCTCAGAGGTAAATAACCTTCAGATAATGGAACAAGAGACTATGGATTATTCAAGAGTTGTTCCCCACTCCAACTGAGTTCAGACGACCTGAAAGGTGCACTCAAAGATGTATTTGCAGCAATGGTGCCTGGCAGGTGTCAGTGAGTGGCAGGGCTTAAGCCAGCCTGTCTCTGCCTTAAACCAAAGGCCTCACTTCACTTGATCAATGCTCAACATTCTGAGGTTCTCAAGTATGCCTCACTTATAATAATCTAACACACTTAGCAACCATCTGGTATGGCCAGTCTAACATGTAGATGGAAAGCTGAGGCCAAAAGATAGCCGCTTGGCTGATGTAAACTAGTGAGTTTATGGTAAAGGTAAGAATTGAATCAGAAATTCACACAGCAAATTCTCTAAACCACTACAGTAAATTCTCTAAGACTTCCGCAAATGGATCCTCGCTGGATACTTTTGATTCGTTCCTGTCAGCTCCAACCAGCATGGCGTGGCCAACAGCCAGGAATCCTTGAAGTCGTATCCAAAACACATGGAGAACAGCAGAGTGGGGGAGACTGCTCTACACCAGGCACACTGTTAACTATGGCTGAAAATAACCTCTATTACCAATATTTATATTTCATCCAGTAACAATGTTCTGAGTTACTTTATACTGTACAAGTTATTTTAGAGGAACAGGCAATGAATCAAATACTTACTTCGTCCATTTTCATACAAGTACCAAAATCTGCAAGTTTCAGGTGTCCATATTTATCCAAGAGCATGTTGTCAGGTTTTACATCTCTATGTATCAAGCCCAAGGAATGAATTGCATCAAGGGCAAGGACGACTTCTGCAGTGTAGAATTTGGCCCACTTCTCAGGCACATCATAATTGCTCATGAGGTTGACAAGATCTCCACCTGGCATGTATTCCATTACCATGTATAGGTATCGGTCATCTTGAAAGGCACTAAAAAGCTGCACCCAGAAGGTTTGAGAGTTGTAAGTATTTCACAAACTTTCAGTTTAAAAATCTGTTAAATCACAGTAGATTTGAGGCACCAAGTACAGATTTTCCCGTTATGCTTTTCAGAACAATTTTGCAGTAATGGTTAGATGTTTTTATGAATACCAGAACAGTTCAGTTTACTCATATTCCAGCAATGAAGTAAATCTCTTATGTGCTACTAAACATTTCAGTAGAAAGGAAAGTGTAGTCAAGATTAATTTAGTTAATTTATTTTATTCTGATTAATGTTGTAAGCCGTCCAGAGATGGAAGTAATGGACGGCATACAAATTTTACAAATAATAATTTAAAAAATAAGATTCCTCCTTCTTGCTGAAGTAGCTACTTCATCCAGGAGTTGACAAATATTACCATGTAAAAAGTTATCGACAGGACCAAACACAGACACTATTGGAAGGATGCTGGAAAGCTGGTCAATTCTCCTTTCCGCAAACATGGCTGCTAACTGCAGGGTTAATTCAATCACTGGGACATAAAATTTATTATAAGCAGAACATAATTTGACCTTGATTGTAGTATGCATGGTTTGTTTTGAAAAGAAATCAGAAAATAATCATAAGGTAGTCTGCTGATTGTACTGTTTCTCATTCCAAAGGCATATTTTTTCATAACACTTCCTGAACTGTAACAGCCTATACTTAAGGCTCCAATCACACTCTGTGTAGTGAAAGAGAACCAATTTCTACAGCAACATTGGTGTTATAGTTCAAGGAATTAGCCTGTGTTCTTGACATCATTCCTTTGCAAGTTGTAGTACAACATATAGGAATGCATTAGTTTGAGAAAGGCTGTGCTGAAGTAATAGGACTAGAATCCTCAAACCACAACTTAATTTTAATTCCATCATAGCACTGAATCAAATACAGTGCTAGTTAAAGGATATTCACAGTATTTCCTTTTTAAAAACTACCCTAATTAAAGGTATAGCTTTTGCTGTATTTTTCCACCAAAGATCAACGGTCTATATCTGGCACCCTCCAGAAATTTTGTACCTCAGTGTTACCAAATGAACATTGAACTGCTATCTTAAACCAGGAAAGCTTAAGGCTGTGGCCCTCCAGGTACTGTTAGGCTCCAACTCCCATCATCCCTAGTCAGCATAGCTAGTTTTCAGAATTGCTTAGAGTTATGCTCCAAATTTAGACTATCCCTGAAGGAAATGCAGTCCAAAGTATCTGGAGAGCACCAGGTCGGGATGCCCTATATACTATTATAGGAAACATTACCCTTAATGAGTATACTATATTGCAACAAATGCATTTAAACCTTTACCTAAAACACTACGTAACACATTATTGTTAAATACTACTCACTGAAAATGTATAGAAAGCCCTGTGCATTGTACTGTACACAAGGCAACACCCCATATATGAGGGGAGGTTAAAGCATTCATTACATATTTTGTTCCTGCAGCATACAAGAACATCTGACAGTCACATACACATTTAAAATCAAACAATCAACATCTAAATGAACCATGCATTGCAAGTTCATCTTAGGATGAAACAGGAAACTCCATGGAAAAGTCGATGTTAGGCATAAATAGGAAAGGAACTGAAAATAGAATTGTCAACCTCATACCCCCCCCCCCCTTATAAACCTTTGGTGCAATTGCACCAAGAATAGTGTGTATAGTTCTGGTTGCTGCATCTGAAAAAGGAAATTATTGACTTAGGAAAGGTGCAGGGGAGGCAACTGAAATGATCAAAGGGTTGCAGCAATTTCCTTAAGTGGAATGGCTACAGCAACTCAGATTATTTAGTTTAGAAAAAAGGCAGAGGGGGGAGCAGAGGTACTGAAATTACACACAATGTGGAGAAACTGGTGAGGGAGCCACTTCTCTCTCCCACAATACTAGAACCCAGGATCATCCCATGATCGCTGGGTAATGCAGGACAGATAAAAGGAAGTACTTCTTTACACAGTACATAGCTAAACTATGAAATTCACTGCAGCAGGAAGTAGTGAATGCCACCAGTTTGGATGACTTTAAAAGGGTGCTGGAGAAATTAATAGAGTAGAAGGTTATCAGTGGCTATGCCCTTGCTGGCTACGTGTGTCCTCTGTTATCAGAGGCAGTCTGCCTGCATACATGACTTGCTAAGGAGCTTGGGCAGGCAGAATTTTTGAATCCATCCGGCTTGAGGGAATCTGTGGGCAGCCTGTTTGCCCCTGTGTGAACAGGGTGCTGGACTGGATGGACCTGTATCTGATCTAGCATGGATTTTCTTGTGATTCAAGAAAGTCAAAGGAAATAAAATGAAAAACAAAGTTATTGTCTTTCTAAGTAGCTTGAAATTAATAAATTAATGTCCCCATAAAGTGCTTCTCTGGTGATTTATAGTTTCACCATTTATTCAAAATTCACCCTCCGAGGGTCAATTAATGCTATTTATTTATTTAAATATTGTAAATAAAAATGCTATTTTCAAAAAAAGTCCTTACCTGAACTACCCATGGACTGTTTGCAAAGGCCATTATATCTCTCTCCTCCCAGAAAAAGGCAGAGTCTGACCTTTTGAGCATTTCAAATTTACTAAGAAGTTTCATGGCATAAGCCTTCTGTGTTGTTTTATGACGAACCTGTCAATGAAAAGAAAGATTTAAAAGTTACTTTCTTTATCAGTATCTTACAAAATTATTTAAATGAAGTCTTTTGTAATTTTTACTTTTGTGACTAAGTAAGACTAATACAGAAGAGTGAATTTACCTCCATCAATAACAAAAGAATGCAAAATCCACAGTTCAGGCAATACATTTATCAGATTCAAACAAAATGCCACAAAAGATTTTGCAACCTTCTAAGCTTTCCAGAATTCTTCATCGGAGTAGAAAGTAAAAAAGAAAGAGGAGGGGGAATTAGGTTGAAACAAATAGTTCAAAGTCAACTAGATTTTGTGGCAATAAGGTTTGCACTTTGAGCCCAGTCTCGCAATGGAGAATGCAGACTGAATGAACTTATAGGTGTTGCAGGTATTCCACACTGTGGGACAAAAAGCTGCAAAGGACTCTCATTTCTGAAAATATAGAAGAAAGTTGTCATTCAAATATGACTTTTACTCAGGCAAAACATTTAGCTTCCCAGTAGGCACAGAGAAGTAAAGAGATCCAATGCCATTTTTTTTATTAGCAAAGCCAGAGTTTTAAGTGATGTTCCACCAAAAAGAACGGCTATTAAAACCTAGTTGGTCAATCCTAGTAATTACTTTCATGTACAATCTTTTCTCCCTATGCTGATCTATTGAAAGATACTACACTTCTAAAAAATAGGATCAGGGACCTAGCGACTGATTCAAGTAAAGATACAAAATAATCAAGGTTAATTTCAGCTCAAAATATTATCTTTCAAAAGGCAAATCCTCCCTTTCCTAAAACAATATAAATTATAAGATCACAAACATATTTGACAATTGTAAAATTTTCCTGATATAATCGTGTAGAAGAAACAGATACTGATACCATCTTTAAACTAGGGCAGATCTTCAGCACACTTAGAATTAAACTGCTCTGGAAAACCAAATCCAGTCCCTTGAGAGGAATTGATTACATTCCAGAAGCAGCCTCAATACACATGTATGATCAAATGTTCAGGCACTTGACTAAGTGGCTTATCAACAAAGAGCGGTGATAAATCAAAAAGGAAACAACATTAATTGCACTGCAGCAGCCTAGTTTGCTATGACCATGTTTTTTTGTTAAGACATCGGAGAGCTAGCAAGTAAGAGCATGAGCTATGAGCAAAATGTCACTTTATCAGTTGTCACTGTTCTCAGGCCACATCTGCAACACAATAAGAATAATAGTCGACTTAACACAGATGCTGTAAAGCAGCCTTCCCAACTTGGTCCCTCCAGGTATTTTAGACTTCAGTTCCCAGCCAATAGGGCCAATGGTGAAGAATGATAGGAGCTGGAAGGCACCAAGTTGAGGATGTCTGTTGTAGTGATTACTGAGATAATAAATATGAAGTGTTTTGATTATTTGAAATGCCACTGTATGACGATGATGATAGAGGCAGCAGCAGCTCCTCCTCCTCCTCTTGGGCTAAACTGCAATACTGGGAGTATACTACTTATCCAGAAGAAAGCTTAAGTGAAACAATAGAAAAGCACTTTCCTACAGCTGTTTTGCAAACTACTAATAAAAGGTACAAATCCTGTAATAAGCTCTCCATTTTTTAAACTGATACTTCTGTGTGAAAAGAGGATTTTTAAGGTACATCCAAGAAATTATGTTCTTGGATGTACCTTATGGTTCTTGTTTTACTAGTCACATGTGTGCACACATGCCTGTGTGTGTAAAGAATCTGTTACCTTATTTATTGGGGCAAATTTTCACCTAATCTAATCAATGAACTACTAAACTTCATTTAGTACTAATTCCATTTAGTTGTTCATTGAACTACTATTCTGTAATCAGTATGAGAATGCAGGAAAAAATGAGCTGGTGACATGCACACATAAAGTAGTAGTATTCCTCAAACTCGGTCTTCCCCTTCTACATTCCCTTTGCCAAGAACAGGCCAACTTTATTTTATTATTATTATTATTATTATTATTATTATTATTATTATTATTATTATAATAACATTTCTATGCCGCCCCTTGCCGAAGCCTCGGGGCGGCTTACAACACAATAAGATACATTGAAATACAATAGAACATAATAAATTACCAATAAATACAAAAATACAAAAAATACACTGAGATACAATAATATAAAATTAAAATTAACAGTATAAAATAAGTAAATAAAGAATATAGGAGGAGGAAAGAGAAGGAAGAAGAAGTTGCCCTGGCCAGATCATATATTTTAACAATTAAAATGATGTTTAAATAAAAAGGTCTTTACCTGGCACCGAAAAACCAGTAACGACAGTGCCAGGCGGACCTCTTTGGGGAGTGAATTCCATAGGTTGGGTGCCACCGCAGAGAAAGCCCTCCTCCGAGTACTTACTCTCCTAATTTCTTTCATGGAGGGTTCCCGGAGAAGGGACTCTCCCGCAGATCTCAAGGGGCGGTTGGGCATACACGGACGTAAGCGCTCGTTCAGGTAGCCAGGACCCAAGCCGTTTAGGGCTTTATAGGTCATAACCAACACCTTGAATTGGGCCCGGGCTTCAATGGGAAGCCAGTGAAGCTGACGGAGGACTGGAGTCATGTGAGCATAACGCCCCGTCCCCGTCAGCAACCTGGCAGCTCTATTTTGCACCAATTGAAGTGTTCGGACCATCTTCAGGGGAAGCCCCAAGTAAAGTGAGTTACAGAAGTCTAGGCGGAAAGTCACCAGCGCGTGTGTCACCGTCGCCAGGCAGTCGTACTCCAGGTAGGGGCGCAGCTGATTAATCAGCTGAAGCTGAAGGAAGGCGCTCCTTGCCACCACTGTCACCTGAGCTTCCAAAGAAAGCTCCGGGTCAAGGAGTACTCCCAAGCTGCGGACCTTGTCCCTAAGAGGGAGTGTTGCACCATTCAGGACCAGGTCAAATCCACCCTCTCCGAAGCCCGATCCGCCAACCAACAGGACCTCTGTCTTGTCTGGATTGAGTTTCAGTTTGTTGGCCCTCATCCATTCCATTACCTCGGCCAAGCACCGGTTCAGCACAGCCACTGCCTCACCTGGATTAGTGGAAAACGAGAGGTAGAGCTGGGTATCATCAGCGTATTGATGATTTCGCAGCCCACACCTCCTGATGACCTCTCCCAGCGGTTTCATGTAGATGTTAAATAGCAGAGGGGATAGGATGGAGCCCTGAGGTACTCCATGGCATAGCTGCCATGGCGCAGAGACATAGTCCCCCAGCACTACCTTCTGGAATCGACCGTTGAGATAGGAGCGGAACCACTGCAAAGCAGTGCTTCCAACCCCCAATCCCGCTAGCCTATCCAGAAGGATACCATGGTCGATGGTATCGAAAGCCGCTGAGAGGTCCAGAAGAACCAACAGGGATGCACTCCCCCTGTCCTTCTCCCTGCACCAGTCATCGTACAGCGCGACCAAGGCAGATTCAGTACTGTACCCGGGTGTGAAGCCGGACTGAAAAGGATCCAGATAATCAGTTTCATCCAAGAGTGCCTGGAGTTGTCCCGCCACCACTCGCTCCAACACCTTGCCCAGAAACGGGATGTTGGCCACAGGTCTATAGTTAGTGGCCATCTCTGGATCCAGTGACGCTTTCTTCAGGACCGGTCGTATTACCGCCTCCTTTAAAGGGGCAGGCACTCGACCCTCCCTCAGAGAAGCGTTAACCACTTCCAAGATCCAGGTCCCAATCCCGTGCTTGGAGTTATTTATTAACCAAGACGGGCAAGGATCCAATAGGCACGTGGTGGGACGTACTCGTCCAAGCACCTTGTCCACATCATCGGGCCACAATAATTGAAATTCCTCCAATAATTTTGGACCAGACGGTAGCATTGGCGTCTCCCCAGAGACCTCTGATTCATTAGTGGAGTCCAGCTCGTGACGAATCTGAGCGATTTTCTCCCTGAAATGCCTGGCAAAGTCGTCACAGCGGGCCTTTGAGGGTGGCATCGGATCTTCCTTAGGACCCGGGCGAACCAGGCCTTGTACCACTCGAAAAAGCTCCGCCGGACGGCATTGTGAGGAGGCAATGGAAGCGGAAAAAAACTTATATTTATGGTGGATGCGTAGAATATGAAATGCAATCACCATGCACTATACTCTGCGAGAAGCAAGGTAGAGGTTTTAGACCTTACCCTGCTACATCAGCCAACTCTTTTGCACTTCAACTTGACAGTTCTTATTATTCAACTAGGGGAGCAGTCATCTTTATTGCCAATTTGTTTGCAGGAGTCTGAGGCAGGTTTCAAGCTATTTTATGGAATGAGTTATTTTATTTTAAAGGATCATATGCAGAAGGACAGAGCAACACCAGAATACACTGCAATTAGCTCTCTGGAAACTGTAAAATTAAAAGAGGTACTTGTATAACTTATTAATCACAAACCTAGCCAGCCTGAAAACTTGCTTGTAATACTGTCTTCAAAAAGATCTCTCTTGCTTCTTTTCATTAACTGTTGTTTCTGACATTTCACAATAGAAATGAATTTTTAAAATGTTTCATAAACTGATTAGGTATTTCCAGTTGCAAAAAAAAATAGCTTGTAGGTTACTGATTTCATAAACACCTGAAAGGGAATAAGTACTGGTACGTTAGGCTAACAGAATGTTACATTCACCCCGTATTTACATAACCCTGGGAACCTCACTAGCACGATATAATAATGGCACCTGCCAGGCACTCAGTATATTGCATAAGAAAAATCAGCTATGGTAAGCTCTCATGTCATGTGAACCAGGGCATGTCTCTCAGCCTAAGCAATCTAACATGGCTATCGCATTTGGAAAAAAACCATAGGATATAAATATAACAAACTTTATTGACCTTTAATACTTCTCCATGAAGATATTAACTGACTGTAGTTCAGACCAATTAAATTTGCTCAAGCTACTTTAGCCAAATCAGATTAGAGTCTGGTAATGTTAAGTACTGTGAATCATTGTTAAATTGCAGAAACCTCCAGAATCGATATTCTAGATGGATGGCAATAACTGCTAATCTGGTTCAAGTGCCTTTTACATATCGATCAATATAAACTGTTGAAAACTTTTCTTTTTCAATATAGTAAAGATAAAATACTTTCAAAATTAGGAACAAGTGGATTAAATATTCCTAATGTAACCCTGAAAAAGTATTCTATTATTCAATTGATTTAAAAATGGATCTCCTGCAGATACATGTCCTCATTTGCTTAACTGAAGACCGGCATTGTACAGTGCACACTGGTTAGGCACTGCATCACTGCACAAGCACAAGGTATTTTTACCATGCTTCAAGCAAGGGAAAGAAGAGTACAAGGGCTGCACCTTGTGAATAAATCAATATAATTTAAAATAGATACAACCACATTTTGGAAGAATTCCTCCCCAATGCATATCTACTCAGAAGTGAGCCCCACTTTTACTTCCACGTAAACAGTATAATGCACTTCTTGTATGTATTATTTATTCATTTATGTATTACACTAAAGCAAAATGGTGTTTTCATGGCCCACTTCTAAAAGGTTTACCTATGTGAAGTTCAAGCCTAGCGCACACTCAATTGCTCCACTGAAAAGATAAGCAGTTCAATATACAAGAAAGGATGTTTAGTGGCAGGGCACATACTTTGCATGCAAAAAGTACCATGTTCATTTCCTGGAATCTCCAGGTAGAGCTGAAAAGGCTGGTATCTGAAACTCTGGAGAGCTATCAGTTAGGCAGATAGGCAGCTGTCTATGTTTTAGGGTTAGGACAAGCTCTGGGCCCATGGAGAAAGATATCCCCATATTATCTCCAGCTGGGAAAGAACAGTGTGTAAAGGAATCCCCATTTTTTTTTATCAGAGACCAGGGGTAATAGCAAGGATTCTTCCAGGAGACAGGGCCTAAAGTCAGACTAAAAAAAAATCCCTTAGACAGACATGCACAAACACACAGGAAGTGGGGGAGAGAAATTTGACCTTTAGGCAAATTGAATCTATTATTTAAACCCTCTTGTCATGTTTGAACAATTTTGAGCACCACCACCTTCAAAGGTACCAACTACCAATGCTTCTAAACAGGTAATAAAAACTCAGCCATTTGACAACTAGAAGCCACCCAAAAAGGACAAAGAATCTCCAGAAACCAAAATCTGCACAGAAAACCATATGCCATGCTATGTAGCACCTGCAGCTCAACAAAACATAATTGTAAATTCTCTGTTCAGTAAGCACTAACTTGACCCCAGTTTTACTAGAAGCATTTAATAAGAAGTTAAAGTCATGATTATTCTGAAACATGTTGAATGCAAATTTAATGGCAATAAATTCTTACCAGCTGTACTTCACCAAATGCACCTCTTCCAATCACTTTAACAACATCGTAGTCTTCTGCTTTCATCTGTAGAGCACGAATTTTTTCCACAACTTTCTCATCTAAATGATTTTAAAGAAAGTTATTACAACACACAAGGAAATAAAAGCACTAATACTCATTGGTTATACTCAACTGCTGCAGTGCTAGCATAAGCAGAAAACTTTTCATGCCTGATTCCACTATTTGCATAGCACTAGAGGTCACTTATACTAGCATTCTAATTGTGCAAGCAAAGCCGCAAGACTGGATACTGCACAATACAGCCGAACAGCACAGAGCACTTACATTGCATGTATTAAAGTATGTGTTACTACTGCATTATTCGTAAGGAACCAATTTACTTAAAATTGACAACAGAACCATTTTAATTGAAATCTTACATGCAACTCTAATATTCCAAAGAAAAATAATTATGACACAAAACAGATAACAAAATATTGGGGATAATCATCCCCAGGTTAAAAAAAGAAACAAAATCTAAATCAAGCAGTTAGTTCTTACTGATCTCTGAAATAAGGAAACATGTTTAGATTTGAAGACCAAGTCTCTTAATAAAATAATGTTTGGACTTTAAAATATATTTAGCATCTTGAAACATCAGGTCTTCCTCATAACTATGTGAGATAATCTGCAATGCTCCAAATTTTATCTCCAGCAGGAAAATAATTCATTTGAATTTTAAAGTCTAGTCCTATATACATAATCTAATGTTGTTAGAATATTAAAATATTAAATTGCTGTTGACAGAATCTACTTTCAAAAGGGTGACAGGGCCAAGCCTGTTCAGATGGGCACATAAAAATTAGTCATAGCAGCTACAAGGGAAACTTACATCTGTTTAAGAAGTTGTCTATGTTCTTGTTCTTCCTCAGAGCCGGATAGTCCAGATCAAGAACTAAGGAATTCAAACTATCCTAGAAAAAAACATGTCAATAAAAATGAATTTTAATTATACTTTTTACAAATATTTGTCCCATTCCACAACTAGCTATCTTGTAAACAGCTATCTTGTAATGCTAAATGCAAACTACAAAGAGGACTGCATATATTACATGAATTAACACACAATAAAGATTGTTAATATAAGCCCCTCAGGGCAAAAGTGTCTTCTCATATTTTATACAAATAACACACATCATAATGCTTTCTTGACTGCACAGGAAGATGGTGATCTGAAAGTGTGGAAATCAACATTACACTGTCATGGTCAACAACTTCCTAGGTAACCATTCTACTGCTGTTTAGCTTCTCAATGTCCTGCCCCCTCAGAGGAAAATGATGGACCTACCAAAATGGTCTGCCCAAAATAGACTCAAACGGATTCAAGAGTTTTGGGAAATTTTTCTGCTGGCAGAGCTAGTGCTGTCGCTGAAGCCCAGGTCATTCTGCGGAATGCAGAGATGACTCAGGCAGCTGACAGAATTTCACCCAGTCTCCCCTGCCACCCCCGCCCGCCTCTATCACACTCTGAAGAAGCACGAAGGAAGACAGTTGGGAAGCAAGAGGAGGAAAACTCATTCAGTCTGACTGAATACAGGTTACAGCTCATTACTGAGCCTATTCCATGGCATTGAAGAAGTTCTTTTCCATCTTCTAAGTGTGGTCTAGTAGAGCTTTTCCAGGTGGTTCATGGCCTATTCCAATTAGGGACGGAGAGAGAAAATGTGGAACTCTCAGAAACAAACTGTGACAAGTTTGATTGGCATTTTCAAGATAAAAATCTGAATTCCATCATGAACTGGACACCACAATTAATGGATTTTCATCAGAGGTGGCCAGAGCAGTGTCTTGTTCAGTTTTTTTGGAAGAATTTCAGTTGCTGAGGCTTGAAGAGGTGGACAAAGTGTTTGGTCAAGATCAGTCAATCCCCTATGTGCTTCACACTTGTGCTACATGACTTATTACATTTAATAGGGAGGGATTATCCACTTGTTCCAGGAGGCTGTAAATTCTTTGCTGAGAGTGAGTAGTGCTGGCATCTTTAAAAGAGTCAGTTATTAACCTGGACTTGCATGATGCTAACAACTACAAACCAGTAGCCAATATGCACTTCCTAGACAAGGTGTTTCAGGGGGTGGTTGCCTATAAAATCCTGGCAATCTCAAACTAAAGTGATTATCTAGACTCATTTCAATTGGACTCCCAGTCTGGTTTGGAAAAAGACCTTGTGGGATGATCTTTGCCAGGCAAGAAACAAGGGGTGTGCAACCCTGTTGATACTTTTTCAACAGTTTTCAATTGCAGTAACTATGGGAGCTGTCATGAGCTGGGATCCTCCTCCTGAGTAAACACCCTGGAACTCTTTTTTCCAGCAGACTTTACTGGTACAAGCCTCTGAGCTCACCCAGAGTGAACCACTGAATCCTCTTGAACATCAATCATTCCTTTGCATGTTTATAACCCCTTTGACATCTCACGCCAAAAGGCAGGGCATTACGAAATTGTGCTTGTCTGCATTTTCCGTTTTTCAACCAGTGGAACCTCTCACCAGTGCTGCTGCTTAGTGACCAGTGCCACCTCTTCAAGAGGAGGAATTTCTATGCCCAACAAACTATTGAGCTTTCTAACCCCACTTCCTTACTGTGAGACATATCCAGCCTCCAGCTCCTCCTTACAGATTGGTAGACTGGGGATCCCACCAGCCCAAACTGTCAAGCCTTCTTCCTCTTCTTGTATCTCTTCATTTACCCGGGGTCTCCTCAACCAGAACTGCCGATCCCTCCCTATCTTTTCAGTCATTCCCTGACTTAAGTCTCCTGCTTGGACATGCTGAGATTCCACAACAACCTCATCCTCACTATGTGAGGGTGAGTTCCCACCTGCTGTTGCACGTGCAGCCACGTTAGTATGGAGAGCACACATGACAGGAGCCTTCTGGATGGCTTGTTTCAATTAGGAATTGGAAGCACGGCACAGCAGCAGTTTCATTCTAGCTGGATGGCAGATGCCAGAAGATGCAACTGAGGGAATATTATTTTGTACCTTTGCAGCTATGCTAAGGTGTTCCTTATGCACAAGAAAGGAATGCGGTTAACAATGTAGTCCTATGCAGGGGTAATAACTACTGTTGCATAAATGGACTTCCCCTTACAATAAAACTTACCCTTCTACTCCTCCCCAGTACAATCCTAAATATGCTCCACAGGTCAGCTAACCCGCTGGGGAGCCATGGAGGAGGGAAAATACATTCCACTAATAGATGTTGTTCCACTAATAGATTAAAATGCACTTACAGTTTAATTGCTACAATGCATGAAGACTTTACTGAAACAACTTATGAGTGAAAAACAACTTGGCAAATCAACAGTGGCAGCTGACATCCTGCTGCTTGAGGCAGGAAGGAATACTCCTCCTCCCCCCAACCACTGATAAGAGAAGAAATGAGCAGTCCCTGCAGAAAAGCACCTGGGCAAGAAGGCCATGCTTTGAGGGGTACTTCCTCAAAGCACAGTATTGTGAGCTGGCCCTTGAAATGCCTGCACAGGCGCACTCCACAGAGGCCACCCACACATCCAACCTCTCATTCTGGTGAGTCCCATGAATCAGGGACTGGGCAGGTCCTATCTCTGGAAAGGTACATTGGCTCACCTGATAGTTGGCTCACCAGCCTAATCTCTTGTTTGGGGGAATGCTCTGACAGCAAGAGACTGCATAGCCTTCCTAGAGAGCCTACCAGCTCCACCTCTTCTTCTGAACCCTCCCCCAAAGTAAGAAACCAGGAGCGCAGCCCCTCTAGAGAGCCCACCTACCCAATCTCTTGCTTTGTGAGAAAGCTCAGTGGGAGAGATGAGTGGGAAGACGGCTGCTCCTCCAGGATGCTCCGCTTGCTCCTCTCCCGCTATGCCCTTTGTTACAGTGGGCAAAGAATAGCACCACCTACAGGGCCCTCCCAACAGGAGAGCAATGACCTGCTGCTTCTACATCTGCCACCTGTGCAGGGATTCACCCTGCCTCACAGGCTAGCCAGGGGACTAAACATGGTGATGATGTACTCTTGTTTTCAACATTAGCACTTGAGAACCATACTTGACAGTCACATGAAATACAGTAGAATAAAATTGGCCAGTAGCTAGTATCTGATACAGGGGTGACATTTCATGGACTTTTGAGATTCAGCTGACCCTGGGAGCTGGTTCGTGAGCTTTGCTGCTGATGCCAACTCACTGTGGTGCAAGTCAAGCCAGCTCTTGGACTTCTGCCTCTCAGACAGACTGATTTGCACATTTTTAAACTGCTAATGAAACTTGCACAAATAAGCACCTGAGAACCACATGGCTCTGGCATGATTTGTGCACAGGTCTAAGCTTTAAAACACGCTCAGAAACAAAACAAGTTCAGGTTTGAGGGAAATAGTGTTAAGCAAGCCCATTAAAAACCAAGATTTAAAGGAGATGGAGATCTATAAATAGCCAGTAGTTTTTCCAGCTTTGTCTCACCCACAGTTATCAGATGTATTATGTTTGCACTTAAACTGCAATACCTATTTTTTCTAACTAGTTGCCAGTTCATTTCTACTGCCAGGTCAAGGTCTGGTTTTAACCTTTTAAGTTCCAAATGGCCCAAGATCTGTGTACTTTAATGGGTCATATTCTTACCCACATGCTCTGTTAACCCTGAGGCTCTGCATCAGATTTTTTGGCCATTTGAATCACAGGAGGCAGTAATAAGTATGCCCTTTCCAATAGTAGCACCATTCTGCAGTATGTCAGCCCAGCTGAAATTCACAAATTCCTACACTTTATGGTTTTAGTCATTAGAGGAAAGCCTGTTTCTTTAGGAAAGTGTCTTTCAGCTTAAAAAAAACTTATTTCCTTATAATAGATACATTAAGGCTCTCTTCCTTTGTATTCTGCTGGTTTTGAATTTTGTCTGCATTTTCTGATACTTGTTAATGCACTTTATAGATTTGGTTTTACTTTGTGTATTTTGTTGTAAAGTGCTTTGAGTTTCTTTTTGAAAGTCAGGATGCAAACCTTTTAACTATAATAGTCATTCAGATGAATGAATTATAAAGCACTTAGAATAACAACAGCAATGTGTAGAAATCAGCAGCAACATGAAGATTTATGATATTTGTATTTCTGCATTAAATTCCTTAGAATTTTAAGAATTACTTTTGCCCAGTGCCTCTAAAACTGTGGAACACATAAATGGCTTTTTCTTTCATTTCCTGAGGCTTCTCTCTCCTTTCGCAAGGCCAACAGATCATCAATACTGTTGTGTGGCCCCTTTAAGAAACAGAGCTCCCCCGAAGCTTTCCAAATACATACTGGTTATATATATGCCTATATTAACACTAAAATGAAAAATATAGTAAGTGTTTACTGTTAACTATAGATTTGATATTCACATTTCTTCTTTTGTGAGGCGGGAGCAGAACTCCAAATGTAAATTAGTTTACTGGGAGATCCCACTTCAAAAAACATTTGAGAAATACTGTTCTAGCCATTTTACTGCTCCAACTAGAAATATAAACATCCCCATTTATATTGTGTGTTGCTGTTGTGGTTGCTTTGTTTTTGTTTGTTTTTTGTAAGCTCTCCAGAGACTTTTTGTATTGGGACAGCTTATAAAAAAGTTAAATAAAACAAATAAATAAAATTCTAAACATGTTTATTCTGAACCAAGTCCCACTAAGTTTCAATTTTAAGCCCAGCAAATACGTTTAAGAAACTGCCTAAGATCACAGATTTAGCACACAATGCGTAAGCAAAAGTTTTCAGGATTATGGCCCACTTCTGTACTAAGTTATGCACCCTGATGAATGTATGGGGGTCAAGGGATTATATAGTAGAGTAGGTGATCTATACTACAGAAAAGTAATCCAGGAAATGACATGTCCTCTCTCTAGGCCTCATAGATAAAAACACTTCAAGCAGGAAATATGTTATTAAAGTGATTTCACTGTTCACTT